TTTTTGACTAGACAGGTTCGGTGAAAGTTGAGCAAAGTCTTATGAATGATAACTTTGAAGATGTCAGTCACTTATTTGATAGCTTTGGAAACTGCGGTACAGTTGGAAATTTTTAAAAATCTGTTTTTCAAAGCAAAAATTGCTTTTTCAAGCCATTAGTAAGTTCAAAACGGAGTTTCGGCAGGACAGGTTTGGTGGAAGTTAAGAAAAGTCTCATGAATTGTTACCTTGAAGATGCTAGCTTCATATTTGATAGCTTTGAAAACAGGGGGACAGTTGGAAAGAGAAAAAAAATTCGTCTTTTTCGAAGGGAATTGCGCTTTTCCAAGCAAAAATTGAGTTGAAAGCGAAATTTCGGCTGAACATGTAGCATAAAAGTCTCCCTAAATCCTTTTAAACAATACACAACACACTTGAGTAACATTCTAAAAAGCTTTCACACCAACATCTAACAAAAGAAAAAAGTGAAAAATCGTCAACCCTGACCAACCCTGGCCACCAAGTGCCAAGTTGCGCGCGTTCGGAGTGAAATCTCGAGATGTTAGGTTTAGAAATTCTAACTTTTTTTTGTGGCATCGTGTAAAGCATACTGGAGGGCATATTCCATGGAAGCAATCACGATGCGATTCTATGCCGACGGCCAGGGTGACCGAAAAACCGACTTTCCAAACAAAAAAATTACCGTAACTCGAAAATGCTTACAGTAACCCCAGTTGGTGTGTACTGTAAAAGTTCCTAAAATTGGATTACCTATCGATTGATATATCACTTGCCTAGTAAAAACCACTCAATACTTAGATACGCAGGTGCCCACCTGCCTACCGTAACCCGGCTACAGTAGGAGGAAATGGCTCAAAAAGTTGGGTCCGCATTTCTGATGATGGGTTATCACACTGGATGAAGTTTCATAAGAATCAAAAAATATTTTTTTTTATTGTACCCGTTGTTTTTGAGACTTTTTGAAAATTACAGAGACAGCGTGTTAAGTAGTGAGCATACATTTGAAATTATATTGAATGGGTCCTATAAAATTGAAAAACGAGACTTTACAGCAAAAAAGTTTTTTGCGTTTAATACTCAAACTGAAGACCCTTGTACGATTCAATCAAAAAGGGGAAAAAAATCAGCTGATAAATGTTTCCCTTAGAAAAAAATTGAGATCCACAGAAAATTGATGATGAATTTATTAAAAAAATAAACCCGAAAAAGATAAGCTGGAAAACTGAGAAAATTCATTCGAAGAAACTTAAAAAAAGAACTCAAGCCGTGTTTTTTTTTCAGTTTCAGCGTGATGAAATCATGGGAAAATTTTTTGGTATTGGTTTTCATCTGTTGGTTACGTGACGCAAGTCATCAAGGACTTGCATTTCATTCGCCGGAAAATCGCTTTGGTTTCCTTCGAATTTAAGTTTTGGGAAAATTTATGTTTACAGCGGGAACGCAATAAAAGATTAGAAATGTATACAGATGAGAAAAAGGCAATGACGAAAAATGTTTTCAGAACGCCTTGAAACCTTGGGTATTAAATTTTTTTTTCATAAAGATCGGAAAAAGTCCTTTTCGAAAACTCTGAAGCTGTAAGTTTTTATCGTTAGTGATGATTCTTGAATTAGTGAGTTTCTATAGTCGATCCCACCCGGCTTGAAAAACGAAACAGGTAGATTGGCAAAAAGGACGCGTTGAGTGCAGAACGCGGCTTTGACCGAAAGTTCGAAATCCAACGCAAGTAACTATTTTTTTCCAAGTTTTTTTCACTGTTTTTTTATTGACTTTCAACATTCTTTTTGAAAAAAAGAAGTTGAAAAGATAAAATCATGAAAAAAAGAAAAAAACTTTCTTTTTACACTTTTTTTCCATAGTCGTTTGACCTTGAGTTTCCCGCCACAAAGCCGCTTCGCGTACGCAACGCTTCACCTTTATTAATCTACATTTCTCGGTTTTCCTGTCGAAAAAGATCGACTGTATCAACTTTTAATTTTGCTGTAAAAATTATGTGAATGCATTTTCCAAAAGGTAAAACTTGGAAGTCAACTGATCGGTTTCTATAAACATTTCACAAGCCGTACTCAATTTGTTTTTTTCTCAACCGTCGAAAATGCTGCGGATACAATGCTTTTTGACAGTTGAAAGTAAATTTTCAGGCTTATAACGAATTCTGACCATGAATGACTTTGCTGGACGACTTCGCACTTTCAAGGAATTTTGCTTTGCCACCGTACAAAATTCGAAATTGTAGTTGATTGAGGAAATAAACGGTGAGATCATTTAGACTTCTGTAGAGAAATTAGTTAGGGATTGGAAAACCTCGAGATCTAGTTGTTTCTACGTTAATTGCGAATCTCCATAACTTTTTGTCGGCTGTAATCTCTCAAAAATTTTTTTGAAATTAAAATTTTTTTATTTGGCCCAAAAAGGATATCTTAGAAATTCCTCAAAAAAATTGGTCGACAAGAAGGAAATTATTTTTTTCTGAGGCATTTCATTTGATTTTTTTCTTATATACGGCTGAAGAGCTCCATATTTCTGAACTTGAAATTAATTTGAAACAGCAATCTTCACAAACCCAATCGCCATCCCAGAATTACTCATCAAGAGTAACGATCAACCTGACAAGACTATTTTCAAACGACTTTTTTCGTTATCAGCTCAAAAGTTCCTCCACGTCATTTACTGAGTAAATTCGTCTGATTTTCAATATTCAGAGAGGCCACGTCATCAAGTGTGTGTCATATTCATACGGTATTTCTGTTCGCTCCTTGATCTTCGTGATAAGAGAATCTAAACCGAAAGGGTCGGTTTTACGATTTGGAACGAATTCCATCTTGATTCATGGTAAAAGGGAAAAGATCAAAAAAACTGTTAGGATTCGAGTTTTCCCTGGAAAAAGCCAAAGAAGTTTTTTTCTTGAACTTGTGACTCATTAGTTCATGATAAAAGGATCAAAATGATAAAATCTGCATCTAGAGATTTCAAACGTCAGAATAAATTTATAATCAGAATTCGTTTTTGTCTTTTTGTGGGCGCCACATTGATTCCGTTCATTTTTTTCTTCGCTGGTATTTATTTTTTTAGTCTCGAGTGATTCACTTTTTTTCGTAGTAAATATAGTTTTTTTAACTTGTTCTTTTTACGAAAAAAACCTCATAAATGGAATCAGTTGAACTACTTTCAGCAAAATTTTTTTAATTTTTTTCATTGAAAATGAAAAAAATTGAAAAAAACGAATTTTTTTAAATAAAATAAATTGAGGAAACGTAGAACAAAAATGAATTTGATTAGAGAGCTTCTCAAAACATTTCGCTTTAAAATTATACAATTCTTTAACTAATAATTCCAGGACTTTTTTTCTTGCATTTCCCATTTAATATTTATTAAAGCCCTCTTGGGTCAGATATTGTGGTTAATTTGAAGTCCCTCTCCTCTTGGAACCTCTATGAACAATATATTCAAGATTTTTCCTTCACTAATTTTGCTAAGTGTCAAGTGCAGCTCAAAAACAAAGCTATCTAAAAGTTTGCAACGGCTTTTTCCAGGCTTTCCCTTGATTTTTTTCATACGTTATGAACTTTTTTCGTTATTTCTTGCTGTCAAGTCTCATTAATTCTGGATTCCACTCTATTTCAAACTTTGATGAACAAGAGAATGTGCAAAAATACCGCTATAAGAGGTTATTTGCTGGAAATGGCGGTTATCAGTAGAATAGCGTGGCCCAACGCTGATTCACGGCCTTGCACACCTTGGGGGCATGACGTTTGCACAGATAAGCTCGACACCCGCCGTATATATACATTGGAACGATACGACCTCTTTTCAATAAGCCTTTTTCCTTCAACTTTTTTTCTGGCTGCGAAATTTCCTATAAAAATGTCTCAGTCATAAGATACTAGCTCAAATTGATCAAAATCCACTTTTTTTTCTATTTTTCGAGCCTGCTTCTCTCAGAAACAGTAATTTTTGACTGAAACTTTGCTATTTTTTAGAAGTCGTCACTGTTTCAAAAGGTCTTGAAATCCGAGGAAAAATATTCTAATTGAGCCGGTTCCAGTCAAATATTGAAAAAATCAAAGGAAAATTCTTTCGAACTTTTTTCTGCTTTGGTGATTCCAATTCTTGGAAGCTCAATTATAATTCCAAGAAAAATGTTAGCTTGCTTAGGACCGCACTCTACCCAGAAAACTAGAAGATAACTATTTTAATTTTAACATAAGAATATTTGATCATTTCAATAGCAGAAATTGAGCTTTTCTGACAGTATTCAAAAAAAGCGACTTTTTATCTGCTTCATCACACCGAAGAATTAAGATCTTTTGAATACCATTGTTCTACTGATATCGAGCTTTACGCCTTTTTGGCATGAACTGTAGTCATCTCTATTTTTACTATTTTTTTTTCTTAGCCACAAAATTCTTGAAACTATTTCTCATTGAAAAAACATCGAAATTGAGCTTCGTATCCCGATCTCCGGTGGGTTTTGTTTAACATATCGTGGGAATCCACTTGACGACCGCATCTGTGTTGGCAACGCTTCTGCGAAGCCCCAAGACTTCTATGTTTTGTTTTTGTTCTTCTTCTGAACTTTGTTGCTTCTCCTTTTCGCAGCACGACTCCTTTGGAGAAAGAATATATATCTGGTGAACAGAACATTTTTTGTTTGTTTTTGGAAGGTCGTTCTTGTCTAGAGTTTTGTGATTTATGTCTAGAAATCCAGTTTGGTCACTAAAAGAATCATGTCTGCTCAAGTACTCAAAAAAAGGCTGATTTGAAAAATTGAGAGCACTGTAAAAACAAAGAAAAACGATTTTCAGTTTTTTTTTACTGTTGGTTCCATTCTCATTGTGAGCTTTCTTCTCTTTGTCATGCGATCCGACCCTATCAGTTCTACCTCTTAATCTTCTAAAAACAGGGAAAAAATCAACAGCTCAATTTTATTTTGCAAATTTGGCAAAAAGATATGGACCTTTATCAAACGGAAAACTGGTTCGAAAGATCCTTGGTAAACTATGATTCACGGGCGTCAACAAGAACTCTATTGCAAGACCAGCGTCACCCTGAACAAACGGAGCAAAAATGTTCTCCTCGTTCCTGGTCGGTACACGTTGGCATCCCTTTTCTTGTTCGGTTTCACGCTATTTGATTGAATTTTTTCTGATAGGATTCTCATAAAGTTTCAAGTTGGACACCAAAAATGTTTCAGAGGTTTCCGTAGAAAGAAGATAAACATGTTTTTTTTTTGAAAGAAAATGGATTTTTTTTTGTCTTACCTCATGGAGCATCTATTTTCCAATTTCCGTTGCCCTCAAATGAATATGTATAGCTCGACAATACTCAAATTTACGTTTTACATAGCATCTGAGGTCCTAGTAGTTCTTCCGAGATGCTTTAGGTAAAAATTATGAAAGAAGACTTTACAGTTTTTTGACCTTCAATACTGAAAAAATCAGTGAAATTTAATATTTTCGAGCACATCGAAAATCAAACGCGAAATAAAACTGTTTGACCCGATTTCACACAGTTTTCGAAGCTATTCTTCTCCTTATTGGCATTTTTACAAGAACCTTGAACTGAACTATTGAGAAAATCAGATATTCTGCTGGACTTTCAATAATTGTGCCGATTTCTTTATTCAAACCCAGAGGAAACTTGAGTCCACGTGGCCCCTGAAAGAGTATCTAGTCTCAACAGTTTCTCATTCACTCTCCTTAAGAAATTGGCCTAGGTAAACACCTTTTTGAGAACACTTGGACCACTATCTCAGGGAATTCACGCATTCCCCAGGAAATTCGAGCCGTTTCGAGCCGCGGCTCGAGCTCTCTTTCGTCACTATTTTTGTTTCGACGTTGCTCCGTTACGCAGATCGTTTGCATATTCGTAGCGACGGTTGGCATGCCGCCAGCTTCCTTCTCTATAAATACCGAAGAATAACGCGGAACGTTTCAGACTACAGAATGTGTCTGTCTGGATTCACCCAGATTCTCTATGGAATCGCTATGGTCGGCTGCGCCATTCTGACCGCCGTTGCTCTTTTCACACCTAGTGAGTTTTACAACCACGTTTTTTTTCGATTAAAAATTGGTAAAAACTTCAATTCTTCTTGACTGAGAATTGACTGAATATTGAAATAGTCATTTTTGAAATATTCAAAAAAAAAAAATCGTTTCTTTAAAACCTCATCTAGGTTAATAAGCTTTTTCCTGAGTTTTCAATGAACAAAATGCCCTCCAGCGTTATTTTTTTCTCCCTCTAAGCTTTCAAAAAAATAAATTTAAATTTTTGCCTGTCTCTGTTTCCCGAAGTGATTCTTGATTAAAAAAACTGAAAATGAAGTATTTTTTTAGAAAAATCTCATTTTTCAACCATCTTGATTTCTAAGACATTTTTGAAAAAAATTAGTTTGATTGGTTCTCAAAAATTTTTTTCTCTATATAAAGTTTCTTAGAAAAAAATGCTCATATACCAAGGAGTTCAGTTCTGAAATAAAAAAAGGAGAAAAATTGAAAAGGCAATTGCAATGTTCCTTTTTCAGGCTGGAACACCTTGAAAAACGACTTCAACCATCCAGACGAATGGAACGGTCTGATGCCTTGGACTTGTGTCGCCCATTCTCAAGGGGCCACTTGCCATGATTGGTGGGCCGTGAGTTCTCCTACTCTTCTCGCCAAATAAGAATGAAGCTTTTTCAAGAATCTTCCTGGTTGGATGCGATGCGTCGTCGTTTGCATGATTCTCGCTCTAATCGTTGAAATCGTGGCCATTATCTGGAACATCATTACCTTGTGAGTCATTATGTGTTGAAATATTTAGCGAGCAGGTCCTGAAAATGTTTGTTTGAATAGTAGGTAGACAAACAAAACGTAACAAGCTCGAAATAGAGGAGAAAAATGAGAACAAGTGGTATAATTTTAGCTGCGCCTGTTGCTGCAAGAAGTATATTATCCACCCATTGACCATCTTGGCCGTGATCGTGACAATATTGCTTCTGATCACTGTCATCGTCTACGCCGCCAACTACACTGGAGCTTTCTCCAGCCCTAACATCGAGAATTCGGTAAGTTATCAGGATCTCAAAAAGTTTCATTATTTCCAAGTATTTGGAATGATACTTAAAAAGACTTATGAACCTCTTTTTCTTAGAGAATCGTTAATTTCATTTTTAAACAACTTTTTAAAACGACGTTGAAGAAAATACGAAGGCCTTTTTATTAAAGTCGCTCAATGAAAAACTTTATACTTACTGAAAAGAACTGTCATTTGAAACTTTTAGCCACCACAAAAAATGTCCGATAGCCCCAAATGAAAAAGAAACATATGTTAAATTGTGATTTTTGAGAATATTTCGAAGCAATATGAGTAGATTTGCCAAGACCTGACGGATCAGCCGAAAGCTTTTCAAACTATTCAGAAAAAAAAGAAACAATCTCTGACCCTAAGCTTAAAGTTCCTTTCCGAAAACCCCGTTCTTCATGAAATCTCACAATTTTCAGCTCGGCTACTCATATTGGCTTACTGTTGGTGCCTTGGTTCTAGCTGCTGCTGACGTCATCATTGGAGCTCTGACCGTTTGTCTCGGCGAAAACTGTTGTTAATTAATTAATCAGCGATCTCGTTATTTTTTCGGGTTCACTGCACCTCGGTTGCACGTCACTTGTAAATTTTCTCATTTCTCATGCCAAATTTGATTTTTTTTACGAAATAAAAAAGTTAATGCTTGACCAACCCCAAATTATGTTTATCCAGACAGAAAAAAGAAGTTAAAAAAATTAGTATTTGATAAAACCTGTCTGCATAGACGTCTCTGAGAAAAAAAAAACATGATAATGCTGTAAAGTGGTCGCGTTACTTTTTATTCAAAGGCGTCTGACCACGAATGATTTGCGCCCTGTTACATCAGAATAGCAAAAAAATCTCCATATCAATCTTCTCTGTTTCTCGAATCACCTAAATGTTTGATTTTTCGAGAAAGTTGAATATACTCAAATTTTTTTATGAAATGTCATGAAACAACCAGAATAGATCGCTAGCCCTTTTTCTCGAAAGAGCTAAAAAGGATGAGAAGATGAAAAGATTTCCGGAAAAAAACTTATTGGAGTTGAAAGCCTTTTCAAATGTTTGAATCAGAAAGATGGATATTCTGTTTTCTAGAAAAGCTGAGTAACATTTTCAGATATTTTCGACAAGTTTTCCACATGATCTGCAAACTAGTACGATTATACTTTTTTGTTCTTTTGTAGCTTTTCTGAAAGAAGCCACAAAATCGTTTATTGCAGCTTTACAGGCTTCATCCGCACGTACTGCAAAACAAAAATGCATCGAGAAACCAGGAATATTTTCAACAAAGAGAAATAGCTGCTTTTTAATCCATCGTTTCATAGCTACGATGTGAGATTCCCATCTTGACACTCATGTGCGTAATTTCAAAGGCATTCCGTTGGAGATAGTCATGATAACGTTGTATTCTCTCGCCTTAGGTTGTTAAGCGCGACATTTGGCAGCTAAGGCAAAGAAGTTGCCGCCATATCACTTTGTTTGTCACTTCTTATCTCATATGTCGCCTTGCGTAAATCGTTCCTCATGTTATAAAACATTTGGCTGTTTTTTGACCTTATTTATGGGTTACAAGACTTTCTTTGTCAATTTGGTAAGTGTTCGATGTAAAAATATCCTAAGTGCACCTTTTAACGCTAATTTCTTGGGTCATTGTTCAAAAATTCAGGACTTTGTTTAGTTTTGAGGAAGTTTTTGCTGGTTCATGAATTATGGAAAATTTGAAGTGCCGTTTTTGCAACTTGGCATCCTCTTTTTCGTCTTTTTTGAAAAACTAATTTTGGAGCATTGAGGTCTAGAAGTTGGGTTCTTCACCAAGTTATCACTGAAGTTTATCATTCCCTTCAAATTCTAACAGAAAACGATGATTTATTATATGAACTTTAGAACAAACTGCATTATGTTGCGCTCATTTGCTTTGAAAAAAATATGAACTTCAAACCGTATTTCAATAACATTAAATCAAATCAGAATCAGAAAAAATGAAAAAAAGGAAGATCTATTTTTTTAGACAATTGAATGGACGTAATTGAGATAATTTGAAACTTTCCGCATCAGATTTATTTTTTTGATTAGTACCGATATATATGTATATAGAATGTCGATTTATGAAATAACTAATCATTTTGAAACCTTTTTCTCCTAACTTTTCACAAAGTTTCCGTAAACCTATAAACTTCTGGACAACAATCTTCGTCCCTACTTTAAAGAGTTCTCATCATTCCAGTTTTCCGCTTCTTTCCCCTTTCAACGGTTTTTTTGTTATGAACTCTCTTTTCTGGAACTGCGAAAAGTATGAATTCCTCGAAGAAACTGTCAAGGGTTTTTTCAATCAAAGTAATTTTAAAATATTTTCATTTCAAAAGTGTGTACGCTATTGCTCATTTTGATTTTTTTTAATTCTGGAAATTTCATAATTTTCCTGAACGTCCATTTTTTTTCCTTTTCCTATGCATCGGAAATTCGAATGAAAAGCGTTTACCCGAGTGAAAAAGCAGAAAATCGAGGCCCTTGTATCAATAGCAACGGTTTTCACACCCATAAAGTGTGAGAAAGGTCTGTTCCCCATCTGACTGCCCATTTCTAACGAAAAGACCAAGAAATCTTGTTTTCTTCTCATATCTTTCGGCACTAAAAAAACTTCGGAACTTTGGTTTCCTGAATTTTATTCATTAATACTGAGAAAGATAAAAACATCTTTTCGGATCGAAAATGTTTCAGAAAAAAAAATCTTCCCTCAAATGATAAATTTGATTTTTTTCGGACTAATGATTATGAAATCCTACCTATGTTCCCTTTCTATCGAAAGTTAAACACTGCAATGAAATACTTTGGTTTGATGGAAAGTTCTGTCAATATACTGAATCCGGGTCATTGATAACAGTTAAGAACGCTTAGTGAATCACTCTTGGCTTTGTATAGTTTGAACAAAAAATGAAGTATTTCTATTTTTTTTTCAAAATGACGAAATTATTTAATATATCATCAGAAGTTATGGAAGTTATCAGGTACTTTGGAATGTTGTCAAACTCGAGAATGATATATCTCTTGGAAAATATAATCAGCGCTAAACTTTGTCTTTTTTTATAGTTCACATTTTCCGCCGAAATTATTTGAAAAAAATCTCAGTAATTTTACGCTTGACTCGTAAAAAAATCAGTAAGACATCAATTTTCGTGTCAAGATAATCTCACACATGACTATTTCTCTTTCTTAAATAATCAGTGTATGAAAAATTGTTAGAAAAGTCAATAATTACTCAAAAAACCAATGCTGAAAAAAAAGGATGAGTCGCGCAGACAACGGGCTAAAATGATCCAAAGCGCAAATCGGCGCTAATTTACCTTTTTCTTGCAAAAAAAAGTGAAATTGGCTGTAGTCTTTTCATCAAGCGCTTAATGGGCCTTTCAAGACGTCAAACTTTATTTTATTCCATCCTAGACTAGAAAAGGTTCATCTCATAGTGAAAATTCGATTCTTTGGTTTCAGAAAAAAAAAAAGATTTTTTAAAAAGTTTTCCGTTGAAACATTTTTCGACCTCAAAACTCTGCAAAAAATTGCGTTTCTTTCTTTTCACATCAAAGCGGTTCCATTGGAATTTGATTTATTTCCTCCAATCGAAATCGCCTTGAGATCAGCTGAAAATGAAGAGAAAGATAAAGAAAAGGCGTGAAAAGAGGGGGCGGGTGATCGGCGATTCAACGTGTGCGGTTATCACAAACGCGCCGTTTTTGTGCCCACGCCTCCTGCATTTTTTCCCTGTTTCTGTTTTTTTCTTCGTTCCTCAAATTATTCATCAGTTTTGAAGCTTATCAAGATATATAAGCACGCTTTTATCGCACTTCCTTGCTTGAAGTTCTCGACTATTTTCGGTCTTTCAGCGAAAATGATATCGGCTAGAGCTGCACAAGTGACTTTCTTCATTATTTGTGCGTTTTGTATAGCCTGCATAGCTGCAGCATCATTCACGACAGGTTTGTGCTCTATTAGGAGTTTAATGATCAATTTTTGACTTATACATGACCCGCTCAATTAGGAAGAAACTCCTTTTGAGAGGACTTTCTTTTTCAGTATATCTGTTTTGCCCCCTGGAACTTGGGATATGAAAAAAACCGCTTAAAGTCGGGCCCAAAAAACCTTTAAATTTTGTGTCCAATTTAAAATAATCCAAGAAGTCTCTCTTGAAATTTTCATCTCTCTGCATGATGTGCAAAAGAATTTCCAGATATAATTGAGAAGTTCAGTAAATATTTCAAAGTCATGTCATGATTTTTTTTCAGGATGGTTGAGGGATACGAATAGTTCAAAGAACTACGATACCTCGATTGGTTTATTACCTTGGCCTTGTTTTGGAAACAAGGCGACAGTCTGCAACAATTTCTGGAATGTGAGCTTTTTTACAGTTTTTCTTCCGATTTTCATATTTCCATCTTCATCACCCATTCGAAAATTTTCAGAATTCACCAGCATTTTACCACATAACCTTCATAAGCATGATGGGCGCATTAATAGTTTCTTCACTTTTGATTTTACTTCAAATCGCTTCCATGTTCGTTTTTCGCTCATTGATAATCTTCTTATTACTTTTTTCAGGTGTGGCGTTCAAAATTTGTTATTTTTCGTTTTGATCGCCTTGTTATCATTGCTGAACACGGCCGCTTTAACCCTCGCCGTTACGATTTTCGGCGTAAAGACGCAATATAAAAGTAATTTTTTGTTTATGAAATCAAATTATTGATTTTGCCTTTTAGCTACCTACAAGGATCCGAATGGGCTGGAAATCACAAGGGAGGTGGGTATACGATATGAACTCATCAGAAAAGAAAAAAAAAGATTTTTCGATAAATCTCAAGTAAGAGTTTTCTGTCGTAGGGAATGATTTATTGTATCTAAAAAGCGTAAAAAATTTGAATGTAGCAAACAAAATAAAATTATGGGAGGGTTTTTTTGTATAGAGCAGTTTTTTACGTTGTTTCATTCGAAAAAAGGTTTTTCAAGGCTGAGACTCTTAGAAAATTCTAGTGAAACGAGCTCCCATGATAGGAATTTCGGCGTACAAGCCTACCAATTTCATTCCAACCCAAATTATTTTTCGTTTTTCAGAGTTCTAGAAGTTTTAACAGGAGATCTGAGGGTAAAGAAACGTGGAAGAAAAATAAATTAGGGTTTCTGATAGGAAATAATCACAACTTTGGTTCAAATCAATTTTCACTTATATCTCAGAAGTTATCATTTTCCAGTGGTACTACTCCTTCTGGATAGCTCTGGCGGCAGCCGTTTTGTCTGGTCTTATGTCTTTCCTGGCGTTGCTCATTCCGTTTTTGGGTAAACCAGAAGCCTACATGTACGATTTGCGGAAAGCGGAACAACAATACAGCGAGAATACGGAGTCTCACCTGGTGAGAAACGACAAACAACAGTACGTCAAACAGAAGTATTGAGAAAAAACCATTGAATATTCTTTTGCCTGTACATATTTTTCGATGAATGAAGGCTTTATGCGTCATTTCTTCTGGTTTTTGGAGAGGAGAAATTTTTCCAAAGACAAGGGTCAAATTGAAGCTGTTGATTTTTATATGTGTTTTTGCTGATTAAAGTTCATTCAAAAACGGTAAAGTTGACTTAAACTTCTTCTGCAAACGTGCGCTCTACAGATGAAAAATGTTTGTGTCACGATTTTTTTTAGAAATATTCTCCAAGGGTGCGAATAATTAACGAAAATCCATGAAAATTTTCCCATTTCCATTGGTTTTTTACTTAAAGATTGAGTTTCGTTTCTCTTTGAACTCAAAGAAAACTTTTCGTCAATTGTGCTTTGCCAACGAAAAATTGCTATGACATTCTCGGGTTTTTTTCAATTATTTTCAAACTTTCATGCTACATTCTGTTTGAATGACAGTACAGTTTTTCTACAGCTCCAAGTCTTATCAGTCCACCCAAAAAAGATAAAAGAACCGTATGATGAATCACAAGGCGTTCCTTTGTGAGTTGAACTTATTGGATGATTCATCAGTTTTTGAACTTTTTTTGCACCAACTCTGTGTTTTTAACTACGTTTATCGATTATGCGGTAAAAAATGGGTTACTACGGAGCTATGAGGAAATAAGAAACAACAAAAAACTTATGAAAAGAGTAACTAAAACTTCCATTGTGATAGTAGAAAACTTCAGCTGCACTGATAGAAAGAATGAGAGAAAAGGAAGAAATAGTCGAGTTACCAGGAAAATCAATTGTGATACCTCGAAGATAGGACAACAGTCGTAGATTAACCGGAACAGTGGCTTCCTAGGCTGTCGATGTTTTAAAAAACCAAGTACCGTTGGAAAAGATAAAAAAACAACCATATCAAGAGCTACGAGAAAAAATTGGGAAAAAGTAGTCGGGAGAAGATTTTAGACGTTACATCGTTTCTCGTTGAACTTAAAAGTCCCAAGGATATCATAAAACTAAAAAACGATTAACTTTAGAAGTTCGGATTGGAGAAATTGAACTCAAAGTTTGACAGGATTCCGAAAATTTACCAAAAAAAGAGCCGCCAAAAAAGTGAAAGGGAGCTTTCAAAAAATTGTGAAAAGAAGTACAAATTCTCAAGAATTACAAATGAAAATCAAAAAAACATGAAAAAATTCAGTCCAATTTGAAACTGTCTTTTGAAAATTTTGAGCTTTTTTCGAAATTTCTCTCGCGATAATATAGAAGGTAAGCTAAGTTAGTTGAAAAAGTCGCATCGTAAAAGTTATCGAAAAAGAGAAAGTATCGAGGAAAACTTCAGTTTTTCATGCTTTTTATGTTTTCTGATCGTTTCAAAACACCTTACTCCATAAAATAAAAAAATACTAGAACCGGAAAAAAATAATCATGACAACTATGGCAAATGAGGAACAATTCCGAGGAAGACGAAGCTTCATCTTGCGTTTTGAAAACGATGCCAGGAGTTGCTGAAAATAGTAAGGATTTGAGGTCGGAAGCTCTGGTAGAAACGTGGGAAATAACCTTTTTTTAACCTCATTCAGATCATTAATTTCAAAAAACAAGATCTTCTTTCGATCTACTGAGCCGAGCAAGATCATTTTTTTTCGTGTGAGCTGAAAAAATCATTCTGTGAACTCACCATAATTTAGAGGTTTTTAGTTTCGACAATTTCTCCAGCGGAAGGAGCAGGAGGAGGAGGAGCAGCAATAGCAGCAGGAGCGCGGCCGATCACTTGAAAACGAATTTTTGATGAAAAAAGAGAATTTAAACTAACATCTCTGAGCGGCGTCCGAAACTGCGGTGAACGCGTTGCCTGGAAATTATTCGTTTTATTAAATTTTAGAGTTGATTGAGGCTAAGAGTGCAGGAACTAAGGAGAAATTGTTCAACGTACCGATCATGCGGCCGAACCGAGTGCTTGAAAGAGAGAAAGTTTCGAAAGCTCGAGGAGCACTGGGAATGACCTGTTGGTCGATGATGACCGCATGTCCCTGAACAGTTTGAATATAAAGGGAAATGAAATTACCGTGAAATATTTATACTAAGACGAAACTCTGAGATATTCTTCGGATCTTAAATTTCAACCGATGCATCGAAGATAGTTAACAATTAAAATTTTTTCAAATATTATCGGTTAATTTTATCTTCATGAAAAAAAAAGATATTTTTTTTCAATGAAAAACTTCAACCGACCTGACTCGGGCTCGTAGATTTCTCAGGTACAATTTTCTGCTTATCATGTCGGTGATTGTACTGTAAAATATACAGCTTTTATGAAAATAACAAGTTTGACGTTGACAAAATTACAGATGTGAAAGCAAGAAATATTATTAAAAGAAAAAAATTATGTTCAGCAGAGCATTTTTCTTACTTTCGGAAAACCACTAGCATTTTTTTCCTCGGAAAATAATTTTTCATATCTTGACTGAAAACGAAAATATATTTTTAGTCAAAATTAAAGTCTAAATTGGCAATGACAAAATGGGTAGCAGTTGAGAATAGAAGAAAAGTAAGTAGAACTCACGACCGGAATGGCCGGCGGACCCGGATCACGTCCATCCAGAAGACACGCCTTGGTCTCCAGAAAATGATCGAAGAAAAAGGCGCATTCGGATCTCTTCCTCGCGCAGTTTTTGCCATTGATCGCTTTTCGAACGTCCCAGGATTTCATGGCACCTTCCGCGTAGTAGATGCAGAACAAGCCACAGTTTTTTGTGTCGTCTTGCTTGATCCGCTTCTTGCCATCCGCGTACTCAATATTGAAACGAACTCTCGGTCTGAAAGATGGAAAATAAACTTAAAACGTCAGTGAGAGTAGTTTTTATTTCATTTTTTTATAAATAAGCGAATGGTTGATAATGGAACTTTTTTTGCAAAATTGAGCAAATCTTTGATTCATTTTGTCAGAAACAAAAAAAAAAGAAGAAAGAATACCACCTCTATCCAGTAAATTTGAAAGTCCTAAAATATTCCACGCAAATTCAGGGATTGGTTTTTGTAAACCTTCCCCTCCCCTTCTGAAAGCCTTTTTTGATTCTGAGATACCGCAGGGTTTGATTTTTTGTGAAAAGGTAGTCCAAAAAATCAGCCAAATTTTTTTTTTTCGAAAATTGACCATTTAGGGTTGAATTTTTAACTCTGCTGCTCAGAACATATTTTTGTTCAAACTCGAATAGAATAGTTCAGAATGAATTTAGATTTTTTGAACGAATGCTTATACAATTTTTTTGAAAGTTCACAAACCTTCTCAAACCGTTTTTTTCTAATAAAAAAATGGAGTAAATTGTTTTTTTGGTCGATTATACTGATTACCAAACGGAACTGACATGTTTTGAGAGTCGAAGAAGTAAGCGAGAATCCGAGCACAGACGTCAGCCTGCACCATCGAGACCTCTCCGACAGAGTCATAGAAGACGATTCGAGGAGTCTCGACGCACGCGACGGCGACCTGCCAGTGGGTGCCCGTGATCATGGGAATCACAATTTTTCCGTAAGGCGGCTCTCTTTTGAGGAAGCACAGTCTTCGCAAATCAAAATCTTTGAGATCTTGATTTTTCCTGACGAAATCAAAGCACTCCGGGTGGATGAGAGTCACCCGCTTGCCGCTAGCTTTGAGCTGAAAAAAATTTTTCTTGTCTTAATTTAAAAAAAGAAAGTTTTTTTCAAGATAGAGATCATTTTAGCAGAGTTGATACTCTAAATTTCTCTTCAATATTAGAATGCAAAATATACGTTTTTTTCTCGCTTAACTTCCTGCGGAAACCTTGACAAAACGCGGAATGCATGCGGAAAAATGTTTCTGCAGATTGCGAATCCCCTTTTTTGATAACTTTTTTTATTTTTTCTGTTTTGAGAACTCATAATACCATAATTTGTTTCTAACCTTGAGCAGCATGAGCAGGACGAGATGCGTGGACTCCAGCCATTCGTCTTGCAGAATACGGTCTTTCAGACGTTTATCGATGCAGGCGAGCAAGACGTAGAAGTCGCCCGGAACTTCTTCTTCCAGCAGCTTGAACTTTTTGAGAAACTGAACATGTTTCATCATACATTGTTTCCAAAAAGATAAAACACCTCCTTCGCCAACTCTGGCGTCATTCGTTCCGCGTCAGGGCAGTTTTGATTTTGAACAGGTTCGACGGACATCTTCATAAATAAATTTTTGATGAAATGGTTCGATTTCATAGGAAGTTTCATTACGAACTCGGTTCAATAGGATTCACAAGGTTAAAATATTATGTTTGCAAAAACTCACGACTCAGTGCATGTGTTCTTCAAATATTAGATTTATTACTACTCAGGTCTGTACAGTTCATTTTTCTATTTAGTTTATTGTCTAGATTTTTTTGTGAACCACTTATTGGAAAACTGCGTTTTGCCCGGAGTTAAAATACCCTATCTCAATGAAGGAATGGGTTAATGAACTATGAATCTTAGATTTTTGGAGTTTTCTTGACTTTTTTTCGATTTGATGAAATGAAATATTATGGTTATATTGTTCACCCACTGCTTGAATTCATTTAATTCTGGTTTTCCAAAAGCAATAGCTTATTTTCATGTATTTACTACTATCGGACACACTGTTAGAAGTTGAATACACTAAACATTTTAGAAACAATAAATGCAAGAAAGCGTTAGAAGAAGTACGGTTAACAATCCCAGGAAACAATGAAGCGTTTCCCGACATGAAGATTTATGCAAATGGCGGGAATCGATAAGTGTTACACAAACAAAGAAGGAAAACTCGAATGGTCTGATCCAATTTTTTCGCCGCAAAGGCAGGAAAAATAGAAAAACGTGTGAATTTCATCAATAAAATGGAGAAAATGCAAAGGATGTGATTCTTGAATCGCCTAAACATTGCAAAAATGGAGAATTCTGTCTCGATTGGACTGAAAGTTATACTTCTATCATAAAAGGGTTAAACTTTTTTTGTAGTTGAATGAAATCTGAGAAGTAAAAAGAGACTGAATCATTCTGATTAGGGGACTACTCGGACTTGTGGACGAGTACCGAATTGATACTTTAGTGTCTTTTAGACCTGGGCAAGAGTACTTGGAATCAAGAGAGGATATCTGTGAAACGTCATAGGCTTCTGAAAAAAATCGACGGAGTTTCCTGTACGCGTCTGGACCGTTCTAAGTCCTCGGGGTGAGGTGGCGCAATGTTAGAGGGCCAGTCTCATGACTGACTTTTCTGAGTAGGTTCGATTCTTGTCAAGGGCAATTCTTTTTTTGAACTTTTATCAAAAAATGAAGATCCTTCAAAATAATTGAAGTTGATTCTATTGTTACATTTGGTTGACAAATAAATTCAGTGAGTAGAATAAGGGGTTTTTCTGTACAACTACGATATCTGTAAGCTGTCCTATAAAAACAATTTCTTCGAAAATGAAAAACTTCCTCGATGAAACTTTTGAATGCTATCGTTTTTCGTACTTTTATAAAGTTTTCTTTCATGATGAAACGTAAAAACAATTTGCCCTCGACGAGATCGAACTTGTTCATAAAAGTCAATCATGAGACCAACGCTCTAACCACTGCGCCAGGCCACCTCGGTGAAAGAGGAAAGTCCAGGCGCGTACAGGACTCTTACTCAATTCCTTCGGAGAGCATTTTTTTTTTCAGAAGTCTATGGGGTTTAGAAGATAATCTTTCTTGTTTCCAAGTACTCTTACCTAGGTCTACAAACCATCAAAACTTCAACGCGTCCGATTAGTTCTCTAGTGAGAAGGTTTTGGAACTATTAATCGTTTTTGTAGTCATTTGAAAATTTGCAAGCCTTATGCGCCTTTGAAAACCATGTGAAAAGTTTTGAAACAACTGACTTTTGTAACTGTTAACTTACAACACGTTCCGCTGCTATGATACCAGTTTTTCGCAAAGAATTCTGGGATTCCCGGCTGTCGTCAAAAAAAGTTTCGGTGAAAAACGAATAACATGTGATTGGTGGAGATCGCAGACATTGTCACGCGTTTTCGCATCCCAAGCCCGCCGTGATTGGGAATTACAGTTCCTAGCGTTTCTAAGGTTTTTTTTAAACTTCTGCCCTGGGTTTTCTTTGATTTATCGGTGTGCCAGCTTTTTGCAAGAAAAGGCAATGAAAATTCTGGATTTCGATGACGATATCGACATTTCTCCCTAGGGTCTGGTCTCCCCTAAAAATCGAATTGAGAGTGGAGACTTTGTGTGTCTGATAGACCTAGGTAAGATTACTGGGAAACAGAAATATTCTTCTAGACGACACAGGCAACCGAGGAAAAGGTCGTCAGCCAGTTACTGAACGACGCTCCCGAGTAAAAATGTATAAGCACTGGAAAAGATTTTTCCGCGGTCGGCTGTGTTGTTCAGATTCCGAGTGATCTCACCTAGGCCTATCAAACCCACAAAGTCTCTATTCTCAACTCGATGTTCAGGAGGAAAGAACATAGACCCTGGTCAGAATTGCTACCGTTTCACCCCCCTTCCCCCAACAGTGTCCGTGAAACATCAGAAAAGGAATAAAACATTGCCTGTAAATAGACGGAGATGCTTTCCCACGGCAAATGCGATGCGCCGTCGACGAGCCAAATCGTATTTTCATACGGCGCGTGTACAAGAAAATTTTTGAACAACACAAATAAGGTTATTTCTGGTGGTGCTGTGGTGAATTAGGGAAAATAATTCATCAATGAAAATCTGGTCTAGTGTCCTGATGGGAGAGCGAAAAATTATTTTTTATCAAACCATCATTTTACTTAAAAAACTGGAAGTTTTTTCTACGATGCTCTTCATTTTTCAAAATTTTTCTTGGATCAATAGGTGCAAAATTAGCCCATTAGACTACTGTTTCAAAAAGCTATAAATTTCAAATTACTAGTTCGGAAAACATGATTAATATTTTCAAAGTTTTTAAAAATAAACATTTTGAGGTCTTCGTAGATTTACCATCTACATACTTTGCCAGAAAAGAGATCATTTTTGCGACGATTCCCTGCGCCTTTAAACTTTTCAGCAAGGTGTTCTAAATGGACTATTTCTTCGGCGCGACTAAAAACCATAACATTGAAGGTTCGACGTTCCCCTCGAACACTAAAAGCAAAAAGAGAGAGAGAGCCCTGATCAATCTTCCACAGAAATTTCACGCGACTTGCAGCGCGAATGACTGAAAAGGTCATTTGAGATCACTCAGATATTTTTCGAGGAACTTTCAGTTTCATTACACTTAGCGGGAAAGGGCATGATAAGACTGCCACCGATCCAAAAAAAAAAAGTTGGAACTTTCGGAAGAGCGAATCAATAAACGCCCATCATATTTGTTCCTTAAACTTTCTGTTTTGATCAAAGTTTTTTTTCAGAAAGTTTCTGTTTTTGGGAACGTTTGTCGCGATTTCGATAGATGCATATCTACTTTGCAACGTTTTCATTGAGAAGGTGGCTGGTTCGATTTGAATCTGCAGGATTTACCTAATAGTTCATAATATTAGCACAGAGCTGGAAAAAAGAAAAATTGAAAAAGCAACATGAAGAGAAGAAATCGAGAAATTAGAATGTGACAATAAAAGAGAAGGAAACGAGAGAACGGTCCTGCAGTTTGAAGGCGTCCCCTCAGACGAAGCCCCGCCTCTTTTGATCCATCCGTCGTATCCGCCCACTGTTCAACCTGAGAAAAATTTCTAGGAAACAGAGAGCGAGAGAAATAAAAAGGTTTCCCGTTATATGGAAACAATCTTTCGGACTATGAAAATGATTTTCGATGACTCCAGTTTGTCAGCAAAGTCTCTTGTTTTATGGTTATATTTGAAACCATTTTGTTCCACTCAGGACAAGGATCTTTCTTGGGCTGTTACAAAAATGATAAAGTTGTTTCATATATGTTTTTTTCAAGTTTTATGAAAGGAAATCCTCGAAAAAAAAACCTTGCTTAATTGGGACTTTTTTAGCACCTTTATACCAATTTTCTAGACTCAAGCAGGAGTTACTGTAGAGAAAGAAAAGAAAATCTAACAGAAAATCATGCGGGGACCTCATCAAAGACTTTTTTTTCCTCATTGATTCAGGGTAGCTCAACTCTTACGACTGTGAACACCCGAATGAGATGAGAAATCGGAGAGAACTTTCAGATCATTTTTTGAGCTTATTGATGATATTTATAGGCTTATTCAATTCAGGAAATATACGAATAAACTAACAGAACTGAAAAAAATGCGTGAAAAAAAGAAAACCAGTAACGCGCGTTAGTCCAATCTATCAAGTACACTCTGACCAGAATTTTCCAAAATTTTGTTAAAAATCCAAATTACCCTAGTTGTTTACGTATTGTAGAACGCATTTCTTGAAAAAAACTTCAGAAAAATTTTTACAATGGGAACTTTATAAAAATTCAATATCCATGTGCCCATTGGCGTTCTGGCAGAGTGCCAAGCTGGCGTTACAGTGCGGCGTGTGCCGTCTCTTTCTCTTCGCTTTCTTTGCAGTGATTCGCTCCAAGGGAATTTAGCTAAACTCTCGGAGGCGCTTTCAGGGATTCAAGCAAATTTTTTTTAAGAAAGGAAAAACAGGAGCGATGCGTAAAAAACGGTTTTTTTCTATTTACCAATTAAGCATACCTCAACCTCGACGACTGTTAACAGCTGAGGAAGTTGGAAAAATTGGAGAGTATATTATGAAGTTTTTGGATCTCATTAACCTTGATGATTGGCTTTTTTGTTGTAGACATCAGGAAGGTATGCAGTTAGAAACAATAAAAATAAAATGAAAATTCAGAAGTTATGAATAGACAGACCTGGAGTTTTTGAAATTTTCTCAAAAATCCGAATTATTCAAGTTGTCAACGATTCATAGAAGGCGTTTTTCTAAAAATTTCAAGAATCTTTCCCGTGGGAACCTTATAAAAATTCAATATCCATGTGCCCATTGGCGTTCTGGCAGAGTGCCAAGCTGGCGTTACAGTGCGGCGTGTGCCGTCTCTTTCTCTTCGCTTTCCTCGCAGTAAATCGCTCCAAATACAGTTAGCTGAGCCTTTCGGAAGAACCTTCAAGGATTTAAGAATGTTTCATAAGAAAGCCAAAAATTCGGACAGGAATCGCGTAAGATCTGCATAAAACAGTTTTTTTCATCAATGTTAAGGGCTATCTCAAATTCAACGACTGTGAAAAGCCGAGATGGATAGAAGAACTGATATTTACTCAATAAATCAACTTTTAGATTTTATCATTAATCCATTTGAATGCAAGAAATAGAAAAATAAGTAGTTCAAAATAGTACTGATGACAAATGCTGTAGAAAAACTATTAACAAAGTTTGGTCACCTTAATAAGTAGGCTCTCACCCGGAGTTTCTTCAAATTTCTTTAAGAATCAGAATTATACTAGTTGCTAGCCTATCATAGAACGCATTCCTCGAAAAATAATGGGGAAATATTCAGAGGTAACCTTATAAAAATTCAATACCTGAGTGTCTATCATCGCGTTGGCAGTGCGCCAAGCTGGCACCACAGAGCAGCGTGTGCCGCGTTTTTTTTCTTTTTGCTTTTTTTCCGACGTGAACGTATTCGAAATATTGCTATACATTCAAATTATTCAAGTTTTTAACGTATCATTGAACGCATTCCTTGAAAAATTTCGAAGTCTTTTTCCAGTAGAAATCTTATAAAAAAATTCAATACGTAATTGCCTGTCGTCGTGTTAGCAATGCGCCAAACAGTAACTACAGTTTCTCGCCTTTTTTCATTTTGCTTTCTTGGCAAGTAAATATGACACATTTGGTTGAACTTTCGAAAGAACTTCCAAAGATTTGAGCATTAGTTCCTGTGGAAACCAAAAATGAAAACCAAACGGGAATCATGGAGAGTCCGCGTGAAACAGTTTGTTTCCCATCATCTGAAAACGCCGAAAAACAATTATCAGGCGTTGTATGGGAAATTTTTGTTATTCTTTCATAATTCCGAATTTTTCTAGTGGTTAGCATATCTTTGAACGCATTCCTTGAAAAATTTCGAGAATTTGTCCGATGGGAACTTTATAAAAATTCGAATCCAAGGGTTCATTGGCGTTTTGGCTGCCAAGCTGGCATTACAGTGCTACTTGCGCCGTTTTTTTCTCTTTTCCTTTTTCTCAAGTTAGTCGCGCCAAAGACTCATTTGGTTGTTTTCGAGTATGCAAGTTACACAGACAAAGAGCCAAGTTTCAAAGTAGGAGACAACAAAAAGTTGGCCAGCTGCACGGTATCCGCCGAAAAAAAAGAAGGACAATGGCGAAAGCGCCGCTGCCTCTTTTTTCCGAATGATCCGCGTTCGGAGTTTGAATTTTTGTTCTTTTTTTCGCTTCTCAATTTGAAACAAAGCAGTTCGCAAAGGATAAACAAAACCTTTTGAATGGAAAATGATCAAAAACCGGTCTTGGTGAGTTGCTTTTCATCCCTGGAACTTTTTTTAAAGTTCCCAAACTTTACTTATCGGCTCTTCCTGTTATTGGCGATCAACATATTGGAATTGGAGAAAAATTAGATTATCAATAAGAATCAAGGCTAAGTTTGACGACTCCAAAGCAAAACGTGTGATTTTATTTCAAATGAAAAAAACCCTAAAATTTGAGTGCAGAGCCCAGAGAAACTGGTTTCGTTCGAAATTAATGTCTAATGAATCAGGAAAACAGCTAAAAAGGTTCGATTGCATAAAGACTCAAGCCAGAGACAGGCTGGACACCTCGCAAGACCGATTCCACTATCAGCTCAAAGTTGGATCCTTCATGCGTTTTTTCCCAGAAATTTTCGTAAACCTTTCACGTTCTCTTTTATAGCTCTTTTTTTAGGTTAACGAGAAACTTTTTTTGAACTTTTTCTGAGAGGAAGAAATAATGGAAATTTTTCACAAAAAGGATGAAAAAAATCAAAAAAAATATAGAAACTTCTTCAATTTTTCAAGTCGATGAAAAAAAGGAGCAAGATTCAAAAAAATGTTTTTTTCTTCAAGTGGAATCTCAGATAATTCAAAGACTACACGCTAACTGTCTTCACGCTTTCCTGCTACCTACTTATTATTTCCGTATTCCGAACCTCTCAAATCAAAACACATTTTTGTTTTCTTAATATGAACATTTCGAGACAGGTTAATATTTGATAAATTTAAAAAGAAAATAGGGAAAAATGTTCGAAATATCAAAATTCCTTGTTTGTGTTTATTGATGTACAGGAAAAACCCTTCTTCAGTACTGACGTGAGAGTGAACGTGTACAATAAATACGCCCATTTTCGAGTTATTTAAAACGAAGTTCAAACCCTTTTCGAGGTTTTATCAGGTTCTTTCCAGCTTTTCAGCTTTTCAGCTATTTTTTTTTACATCTAGTTGATATTCGAAACAATTTTGTTTTCTATCTCAATACTAGTAATATTACCCAAGCAAGCATAAAACGAAAGAAAAACAGTTGATATTTGCATGGATATACAAAACAGTCTTAAATTCGTTATTTGTTCATTTTTTAGTCTTCAGGCAGCGTTCAAGCACACATAGAATATCAGAGCAGGGGAAATTAAAATTTTTTTGAACAGAAAATGTTTATTTTGGACCACTTTCCCAGGAAATTTAGAAAAAAACAGAACAAAACGTTCTTTCAACCCTTTAAAAAGAACATGACAGCGTTAAAAGAAAATGTGCCGATCCGGGGGCACAGTTTTATTAGGCGATATAATGGGTTTTCTGCTCGCTCTTTTTAGCCCTTTCTGAGAAACAGCCGTTGTTGTCGAGACTTCTTCCGAAAAACATCGAAGGTTGAGAAAAATGGAGAAGAAATACTTCTCACAATGAAAAACCGTCGGAGAATCGTCAAGTTTCTTCATTAAGAAGTTCTTGGAAATTGAAAGGTGGATCCTAAAAAATGAGCAGTTTTTTTGAAAGACGCGCAGTTTTATCAATTTCAACTATGGTTCAGAAGCCAGATGAACTGTAGCTTCCTGATCCGTAACACTTCAATGAAGCTATACATCTCGGACAACCAGCTTCCAAACTTTTTCACAAACTTTTTTTTTTTTTTCAGATTAAATACTATCACGATTAGTCAGTATGTTGATCACCCACTTTTTTGGTTTTTTTTTTCTTAGCGGACTTCTCTACCCAGCTACAAAAGAGTCATTTATGTTTCCCTTAGGTCCAAATAATGTGAAAAAAAAAGAAAAACAAATTGAGCCTCCCGTCTAATTTTCTGTTGTATGATATTGTGGTGTGCAGCAAAAAAAAAGCTTTTTCTATCTTTCTATTATTTTCCGGAATAATAATATAATATCTATCACCTGTTTTGTCAAAGGTCCTGCCTAAATTCTAACCAAAAAGACCCGCAAAAAAATTCAAACCTACAGAAAAGCTTCAACAAACAAAAATGCGTCATATGACGGCTTTTTGGCACGTCAATGACTGTGTGACTCAATATAGAGAGCAAATAATTTTCACAGATGTGAAGTAGAAAATAAAAACCTCCACTAGGATTTAATTTATCCATGTCAGTTTTTCGACTCGATTTCATTTTTATTGACAATGCGTAAAATGTTTCGAGCAATCTTTAAGGTTCTCGCGACGTAAAATTTTTACGATTTTAAGAATGTACCTAGCGAAGTTTAGAGTCTAATGTTCGAAGCTCTCTGGACATCACCGTGATAAGATTGATAGTGTCATCTGAAAAGTCATTCCAAGTTTCACAATCCTTGCTTACTCATTGTTGGTTTTCACGTCTCTATTTATCGCTTTCGGGCGTGATATTCACTTTTATTTGAAGACCAAGGGCGGTCTTTTACAGATTTTCTCACCGGAGCATTCTTGAGATGTTTCGGCACTCTTTAGCGAGCTTCACTTTTTCATTGTCTCAGAAACTTATTTTAGCTTCACTTTTTCCCAGTGATGGCACCCTTAACGAGTGAATTTTTCGAAGGTGCCGTTGCAAATTTGTTTTGAGTTCTGCATCTCATCATAATAGGTCTTGGTGACTTTGCATTCGTTCAATTTTTTTGGAAAACATTTTTTCACTTTTCCAGGAAATTCCATTTTTTTTTCTCTTTTCTATGGATCACTGTTTGCAAGAAAATTTGCATTGGCTCCGCTTCTGAGTTTTTCGAAAACAAAGGGCGCAAGTCACTTTGCGGTCGGCTGTTTCTTTATATGGCCCGGTGCGCGTAAATTCATTTTCTATGCGGTTCACAATTTTTTTGACTGTTTCATGAATTTTTCGGACTGTAGGTTACATCGAACCGTCATTTCTAATTATTTACACAAAGATAAACATTTATATTTTTTTCCAGAAAAATGGATTATTACCACGAACATCACAAAAAAGGGCCATTCGTCGTGGCTTTTCTTCTCATACTCGTCACGATTCTCACTGGAGTGGCCACTTTCACCAATTGTCCGTTGATTTTTGGAATTTGAGAAAAAATTCAACAGTTTAGACTGGGCAACACTCAGCGTTTTTGGCGCCAATGCAGGTCACATGGGACTGTACGCTTGGTTCAAGAGCGGTGCCAATGACGCCTTCAATGTGAGTTTATGATATTTAATTCGTTCCAATCTTCTCTTTGGAATTCCTCAAAGGCCCAGGTCACACTTTAGTCTATCAAATGAAGATCCTAAAACTCCAAAAAGGCATACCTTTCGAGAAAAAAAAAAACTGAAGCCTTAAAATGAACCATTTGTGCGGCTCAATTATTGAAAGTTGAATACTTTTCATCGACTTTTGTGTTTTTCGGAGCTGAAGAAAATCATATTTTGATTTTTCACCCTCTGTCCGGATCGACAGAAAAAAAAAGAAGAGCTTACAAATTCAAGTCTTTCGCATTTTTCTTTTTTTATTTTGCGTTTCGAATTAAAAAAATGTAGGTTTTCTACAAAAACACTGACATTTTTTTCTCACATTTTTTTGGCGGAAACATTATTACCTTTCAAAAAAACTCAAAGAAAAATCTTCTTTTCAATTTCACATAAAATTATTCCAGGCGCAACCAGGATGGTGGAAATGCACTGTAGTCACCATGTTGATGGCTTTTTCTTTCGAGCTTCTCTTCTGCATCCTCGTGATTCCTTCGATGTGAGTTTGACAATTTCGATACATGGAATTCAAACATAATTTGTAGACTGTTTTATATTTGAATGCCTAATGTTGCAAACCCAATCATTTGAAAACCTTCCAGTTGAAAAAATGTTTTATTTGAATTTGATGCTTCCCTTTGCTTGCTCTAAAGCTCAAACCGTATTTGGTCGGATGAAGAAGATATTTTATCGATTACGTGAAAACGAAAAAGGGAAGCTTCATCAAAATAACAATAAACTTTGACACGCTAAACTTAATTTTTTCTTCTACTTTTTTTTGTTTTCAGCCTTTTCCGCAAACACATCCATGGACATGCTCTCAACGCTCTTCTGTCAATAATCATCGCCATTTTACTGTTTGTTGGCATCATCACCTTTGCTGTGAAAGTTGGAAGTAATATAATGAAAGACTCACCAATTTGACATTTCCTTTTTTCAGGTTTCAATGTGGCTGGCATTAGCGTTCCTCTGAAGGTAAAGCGGAAGAAACTATTTTTAATTGGAACTTTCTTAATTTCAGCTTGGCTGGTCCTGGGGAGTCGGCGTCGCTGCCGCAGTCGTCTCGATTATTCTCATCTTGGCCTCCAGTGGATCAGCATATGGAGCAGCCAGATCACACTATTATTGATAATCCACCTTTTTTAATTGTGATAAAGTCTTGTATTATATATGAAGTGACAAATTTTTCATTTTTCATTTTGATAAACCTTTTTTTCGACTATTTGAAACTTGCAATAATTTAAAAAAGTTAAAAAAAACCTGATTTAAGCCAGTTCGCCAAAGTTTTTAAGAATATAAAGAGGAGCTCAAAGAGAGAATTTGAAGCTCAAAAATGTCAAAAAGTCTGACGAAATTGTAATTAAAACTTGCGGGGTTGATTGGGATATGAACGGTACTGTAAGAAAGGCAATGTTGAGGGAGAATCAGAAGAAAATCTGCACAGTAATGGGTTACAAAGTACCAGATGGCTTGGAAGAACAAACATAACCGCATCCTTGAGCTCGCAAAGTGACGTAGAGACAGCAAGCTCGTAAAATGTCCAGCCTGTCGCTGGATTGAACCCTCTTCACGCCAAATCTTTTTTGCCATTTCTGAGGCATTGGAAAATTAAGACAAAACAGTGATAACGCTTTTTAACTGGGAAATAAAGCGAAAGTTTGGAAAAATGTTTAAAATGAAGCAATCACTCTCTACGGTTGATTACGCGTCAGGGACGGCCGAATAGAAATTACAGCTATTTTAAAACAAGCACTGATATTATTTATACCATTTTTACAATTAGAAAAAAACCCAAAATTTGCTTGAGCGTTTCTCGAGTTTCAATTGCTCAAATTTGAGTTTTGATTTGCAAAGAAACAGCAACTTTTTCATGAGTTCTAGATTTTTTTTTCAATCAAAAAATTCAGACTTTGAAGCATTTCCCGAATAAAACAAAAGTTTCTCAAAACTATCCCATTGCTATTTCTGGCTCAAAACCATTTCTAAGTCAACAAAAATGATTATATAAACAAAGCACCATCAACAGAAAGGAAAAATAAACAATCCTTATCAGAAAGTTGGCATTCCCATCACTATTTCAAAAAGAACAATAGAACAAAATCAAAAACAAAAGCGAAAAGCTCAAAGTTCCGAAAACCATTTGATGATCCATCATCCGGCAGACGACAGCTGTTGGTTGAGTTCAAGACCAAAAAGCGATTTCATCGGGTGTTTTGGACTGTTGAATCATCTAGTCGGAAGATCTTATGAAACTTTTTGAGCTCTCTGACCCGTATCGAAATAAATAATTTTACGCATAGAGTGCGAAAAACAAAGAGGTGACGTCGAAAAATGAAGTGAGTCAGCCGAAAAAATGAACAGCCGCGAGCATCAGGCGAGGCTCTCTTATTTTGTACACCTGATGCCTCGCCGATCGCTATAAATGCGTCCGACCGATCAACATCGGCTGCCAGTTTCCGCTCTTTTGTTTTTCAGCTCACTGTTTCTTGCTTTTCAGAGTCTCTGATTCAATTTCTAATGAGCTTTTTTGAGTTATATAGCAGTTATAGGAGTATTCCTCTCAATAAAAGTTCAGAATAAGTTGGTTCTCTTCCAGTAAAAAAATTAATATAGAGTTATGAAAATTTTTCTTCAGTCGGAGGATTTTTCGTGATGAACTGGTATCATGAAATTTTTTTATCATTTTTAATCACCTTTTTCTTTCTTTTTGGTTTTTTCTGATTTCACCGCATCTCAAAATAAATATATATATAATGAGCTTGAAATCCCTACATGAGCTCAACGTTTGATGCTTTTTGTATTTTGAATCCTCGCTCAAATTACTAATTGGTTGAAAAATGAAGATTCAAGCAATTATGAATCTCTCATAGCTCTTGGAAAAAGGTTTTTAGTCGCCGGCGAAATCCGAACAATCATATAACACTGAACTAATCTAAAATTATCACTTTGTTGTTCTTCCCCGTTTCAAATTTTTGTTATCATTTCGATGCTTAGCCACTCTATTATAACTATTCCAATCCTTTTTTCAGAATCATGAAGAGCGCTATCATTTTCTGCTCAGTCGTCGCCATCGCTTCTTGCATTGAAATGTTCGGACGCGATCAGTCTGCTGCTGTAAGTGACGATGAACCTGTTTAAAAATTTTATTTCGAACAGTTTAATAGAAAAAAAACCAAAATAATCCTTTTTTCTGAACTTTTTTACATAACTTTTTTGAAAAACGAATCTTTTATTGGGTTTTCCAACCATCCGGCAAACACAAGAACATTCTCGACTGTTAAACTAGCACTTGGAAAACAGAGACCCAAACTATAAACATCGTTTTTCACAGGTCGAAGGACGGCTGATGTGCGACGGACGGCCAGCTGTCGGCGTTAAAGTCAAGCTCTGGGATGTCGACCGAAGTTTGTGTTTTTCTGAGCACTTTACATCAGTCTTCCAGTTGACGGAAAGCGGAAAGAATGAGGAAATTTTTCAGTGGATTCGGACGATCTCCTCGACTCTGGAACAACTGATCAGAACGGAGAATTCCACCTCGCCGGATGGACCAAGGAGTACACGACCATCGACCCCAAGCTCAACATCTACCACGACTGCAATGACGGACTCATGGTAGGGAAAAACTCGAGAAAACATAAAAAATTACATTTCTTTTCGTTTTTCGAAAGCCTGAATGGAGAATATTTGTAAAAGTTAGAAAAAATCCTTCTCAATCTCAACTTCCTTTGAAGCCAAAACATCAAAGTGGAACTATTAGAACTTATTCAAAATAACTAGGATACGCATGAAATCATGGACGCATTTATAAAAAATATAATTTCCAACTTTACCTACCTCAGAAATTTTTGAATGAAAAAAATCTGTTTTTTTATGACTTTTTTTAAATTTTTTTGAGAGCTGAACTTTAAAAAAATTATACCACGTAACTTTGTTCATTTTTCAGCCCTGCCAGCGCAAATTCGGTATCAAGATCCCAGATAGCTACGTCTCGCACGGAAAAACTCCCAAGACTGTCTACAACGCCGGAACTCTCCAACTGGCTGGCAGCTACCCTGGAGAGAGCCGCGACTGCGTCAACTAGAATATATATTTTTCGCCTTTTCAAGCCATTTTTTGTAAGTACGAAGTCTTTTCAACAATAAATCTTGCCATACAAGTCTTTCATTTTTGCAGTGAGTGGAATAAAACGCCTACTTTTTGAAAAAACCTATTAGAGGTTGAGAAAAAGTCATATCAAGGTTTCATGGAAGGGTAAAAAAGTAGTTGGAGCTTAAAACCTTTGATTTTTGACTTATTCAAAGATTTTTCACAATAACAGGAGCTGCTAAAAACGTTTACTGGAGATTTTTTTCTTCGATTCAAGATTTTTTCTACACAAAAAGGTTCTTTCATTGCCCAGATGTATGAGAATGAACCTCATAAAAATCAATTTATTTTTAATTACAAAATCTATACCAATAAATCTTGCCGTACAAGTACAAGTTCACAGGGAGTACATGACCAGAACACAAATCAAAACGAAAAACGGAGAAACTTTAATTGAAAAGCAATTGGTTGAAGAATCTTGAGCAGTGCAGAAGACCGGTGCGGCACATTTCCGTGGTTCTAAAGTTGATGACTAAAAAACTGGCTTTTGAGTTTTCCCACCTCACTACCGACATCCGATCAGCTCTTTCGAAGTTCGACCTGACGAGTTCGTAGTATTGTCCGTCGCTGAGAACTATGGAGTGAAGTTTCAAACATTTCATGCGGAGGACATCAATGAATTTGCTGGAGATTCGTTCGTTATAAGTTTTTTTCGAAAGACAAACTACCTCGATTTGTCAGAGAAACGGAGGGTTTCATCGTCCCAACGCACCTCGAGTCTGTAAATTATTGTCAAAGATTTCAGATATTTGATGGATTCACAGACCTGGTCAACCTTGGACAATTTTGAGCAATGCAATCGATGAACTGATCAACGTGGATCTTTGCAACCACTTTTGGGCAGCAGTCTTCTGCGATTCCCATCACCAGAACACTGAAAAATAATTTTTGGTTAGCCTATTCAGAAATTTATATATGAATAAAAAAATTTGTCAAGAAATGTTTTTTCATATCAAGTATCGCGTCAGAGTTCCGAGCATGTCATCCTGTACATTTGAGAAAATCATACGAACCGGATATTCTTGAGCTGTGGGATCATGTTCATCCAGAAGTACTCGAGAAGCTTGTGTTGTCCTCCCAAGCACAGCCCATGGAACTGATGACCATGTCGTTTGATCATATCAACCAACGACTGTTCATTCAGAGAGTCGCAAGTATCCAAGTTTAAATATTGCAAAGCGCCCATCGTGTTGGATTGTTGCCAGGCTTCCAAAACCTGGAAGTTGCACCTATCTTCAGAAAAAAGCCTGCAGTCTCACCTGATCGGTCATGCTCTCAAGCCAACTTGCATCAAGCCATCTGAGGTGGCCGAGTCGAGTCAGGATGAAGATCAGAGATTCAGAAGAAAGTTCAGTTCCCTTGACGTCCAGTTCCTCGATTCGCGTTTTCTCCCACTCGATTCCTCTGATGACTGAGTTGTCGAGCTCTGAAAAACAATCCGGACTTTTAGGGAATCCCTGAAAATCGGCTGTAGTTTACTCTATTTTCTACGCCTCGAAACGCGAAAAGTTTCATGAAAATTATTCGTGAGCTAAAAAAATGTACCATAAAAAAATTTATTTTTTTCGATAAATTTATTTTTTTCCTTCACCAAAAATGCCTTCCAAAACTTAACATTTCAATAATGAATTAAAGCCCTATACCTTAATTATTATCACATTTTCGTTTTTTTAACTCACTGGTGAAAGCCAAAAACAAGCTTTTTCAGTTTTCTGCATCGCTGGAGAACCGGCTTCAAACATGATCCAGTAACCTTAAATTTATTTTTTCAATTAAATTGGTATGGGGACCACTGACCTTTGAGCAGTAGTTGACACACAAGCATTCCAAATGAGCACAGTTAGAAGAAATCGCATCGACGTGATCGTCCGTGATGAATGGGACCTGAAATTATCACTCTACTCTGAAAAAAGAGAACTTTTCTAACCCCCCATAGATTGACAACTCGCAGATTTGGCAGAAATTGTTTGAGCTTGTAGACGTTGACCGTTTCGTAGACTTCTTCTTCCTCATCTTCAACTTTTTCGTAGGTTCCTGAAATGAAAAATGATTTAATTTTCGCTAGAAAAGTTACCAATGATGTGCAGGATCTGGACAGATGAAATGAAGGTGTAGATTTTCCGGAGGAAGCCTTCTAGGAAAATGTTTTCAGAGAGACAGATTGTGATTGACTTGAGACGAGATGGGAAAGTCTGAAGGTCTGTGAAGTCGTGCAGCTGCATGGCAGTTGAAAAATCTGAAAATAGGTGATTTGCGTTAGGGCAGATATACTTTGCAAGAACACTAAAAAACTCTCACATTTTTCAGATAAACTCGAAGAAAAACTTCTTTTAGAACTTTTAGTTTTCCAAAATTATGATAACAATGCTGAGAAGAGATAATTTAGTTCGGAAAATAGTTAGGAAAAATCGTTTCGAAGCTTTTTCGCTTCCTCACGTATCTGGAGAGTAGGCTATTCCTGTTCTTCAGTAATAATGATTCACCTAGAGTCAAGCTCTGAAGCCGGGGGCACTTATTGGCCAACTCGTGAAGAACATTCGGTGTGATGAGGTCAGTTGCAAGCTCGACTACTCGGAGTTCGGAAAAACGCGTTCCAATCAAGTTCAAGAAATGATCGTGGTTCGTGACCTGATAATCCATTCCTTCTGTCCAAAATTATTTTTCAAAAGTTTTCTGACCTGAATTCCACCATAACTCGGCCGGAATGAAACGAAACGCCATAGAAGAGGTGTACAGGAAACGGTGCGCCAACGTTTACAAACTTGGCCCGCTTGAAGGATCTGAATTACAAATCAAGTTCAAAGCTGAAGTTAGTGGGAAAGACCTGATAAGGTGATAGGTATCCAAAAAAATATGCTGGAGAACTGTGTCGGGGAGCTTCTCGATGGTCTGGAAAGTCTCATGAGAAATCGAAAAAAATTAAACTTTTTTACAATTTTTATCTGATTGATAACAAAATTTTCAAAGTGCACATTAAAGTTCAATGAAAAAAATTTAAAAACTTTTCTATCCGATTTTTCTTCTTTTTCGGTGTAAAAAAAGTTTCGGGAGCGAGTAGGTTTTTAACTTTTTTTGATAGACTTTAACAAAACTACAAAGATCAAGGGAACTGCGCCAACACAAACTTTCATGCCAAATTGAGCTTTTTTTCTAGAATCTCCCTGAGCAAGAAGTTTTGTACAGACATTTTTTTGGTGGTATGAGAAAAAAAGACCAGCGAATTTTTCGAACGGCGACTTTTTCCAATTTTTTTCTCGATAAACTCTTCGTTTCGAATCTTTCTATATAAAGAAGGTTGTTGATTTATGATTCAATCTTATAATGTTAAAAATTTTTTATAAACCGAAAAAAACAAGGGAAAAAAGTCGGAAAGTTCCCTTACAATATGAAAAAAATTGGAAAAGTTGCCGTTCGAAAAGTTTGCTAGCTTTTTTTATACCACCTCATTTTTTTGCATAAAATCAAAATTTGTTAGGGATGCGACATCGCGCGCGACATCGTGTCGCGTACTGATCGAAAAAAACTCGTCACTTTGTCTATTATGTTTCTAATTTTGATTCTCTCGCTTCTTCTTACTTTTCTGAGGTGAAATTCTGATTTTTTTTTTGAGTAAATCACAAGTACAAGTATTTTTTCAATGCTCAAAACTCGAAGTTGAACTGAGCTTATCAGTCGGTGGCTTAGAGAAATTTTAAGAAGACTACATAAAAAAACAAAAAAGCGAAAAATAGAACTCCAACGTTTTTTCGAAATTTTTCGTTCTAAGCTAGGTAAAATGAAGTATCGACTGAAATATTTTTTCACAAGATCTATCCTATATTACATGATGGTATTTATGTTGCACAGCGACGTATTCTCGTTCATGTTCGTCGTTGTCGTCTTCCAGATGTTCGAGCTTTTCTTTAAGCTCTGCGTCCGTGTCGGACATGGTGACAATGCGGGTCATGTCGTATATTGCCGTCATTTTTCACCTTTCGTGCCAGTTAGCAATTATACCTTTTTCAAAAACAAGTCAAAAAAAATGGAGGAAAACATAAAAGGCAAACATTCAAACTCAACAAACTATCAAGATTAGAAAGGAGAAAATAAAATGAGGCTGAGAAACGGGAAATCCGCTCTGCTCTTTTTGTAACTGCTATGTCTTTCAGAAACACTTTTTTGCTCCGAAATTCTGAAAATAAAGGGGAGTTAAAGAAAAAGGTTCAAGTTTCTAGAATATAAAATAAAAATAGAACCTCCTGAGAACTACGGGTTATAAATATCTGCATCTAGAAACATAAAAATCGCGACAAAATAGATTCAAAAAACTCAAGCAACTTAAAATAAAAACTATTTTTCATCCTAAAAAGAAATAATAGACAGAATCGAGCTATCATCAGTGGAATGAAAACTTTGATGCAACATTAAGCGACAAGACGACAACACTTTTAAGCTTCTTTTCCGCCAAAATCCGCTCGTTTTTTTGGCGAAATCTTTTTTGACTTTCAAATAGCTAGCCTGTTTTCATTTATCGAAAACAAAAAAAAAACTGGAAATAAACAAAAGGCAGCAAGATTGGAGGATCGTGAAAAATGGAGGATTCAAGCTCCGAGGGTGAATCCGTGAGAGAAGGAGTCAGCTGGCACACGTTGGAAAATCCGATGGATCAATGGCTCATGAGCACACGTTTGCATGTTACACAGAGCAGTTTACAAAGTCTGAGACTTCTCTCTTTTGAATTTGGTACACGAAATTCGAGTTATTGGAAGAAGTGTGAAGAATTAAGACTTTCGAATGAATTTACGAGAAATTCCAGAGATTTCTTGGGTTGATCGGAACCTAGGACCTAGATGACGCAAGCCGGACGCGCCACGGATGTTTCTGAGCCTTCCTAGTGATTTCTTCAGCGGCGCCAGCCCACTTAAGTGATCACTTTAAACTCAAAGAAACCTCCGAGGCGCGTACGGTTCAACGAAAATAGAACTACGTGTCCGTTGGAGCGCGTTTGAACCAATTTTTTTTATCTCTTTTTTCAATCTGATTCTCGCAATTTGAGTTATTGTGAGAAGTTTGAGAAACTTCGATTCTCGATAATTTGTCGAAATGGTATCGAAAATTTAGTTACAAGTTATGGAGAAGTATATGAAGAGATCACATTTTCGAATAATTTTTCTGAGTAAAAACTTCCGAAAATAATTATCGAAGCTTCAGTTCAAAGAAAAAAAAGGTATGAAGATATCTTTTCATAATCATATTGCCTCTCCAACGACTGCAGCTCTGAATTTTTTGCGGAAACATGAGTTTCTGAACATTTTTTTCTGTTAAAATTCTCATGGAGTTACTCAATTTTTTTAAAACTGACAAACTGGCTTTTTATTTTTTTCTGTTTTTGAGATACCAACTTTACAAAAAAAAATCATATTTCTGCAATGAGTAAAGTGTGATATTGAAAATATTTTTAAATTTCGAGATTTCCACTTTCTGGTAAAATTTATATCTTCTCGCTGTGTGTCGAGAATTTAATATAAGACATTTTTAAACAGGAAGAAGATAAACGATTTTTTTGAGTTCTTATCAAAAGATCAGCCTTCTTTCCTCGTTCCTTCCTTCTTCAAATCAGCTCAGGACAAAATAATCGGCTTTTCGGAAAGAAGTAATCTGGAATCGTTCTATTTTCCTGGAAGAAGTTTCGTTTTCCACAGCAATTACCCAGTAATCAATCACTGATTTTTCCACCCACCTTTTTTCTTTCGTGTTCAGGCAGCGCGTCTTCTCCGAATAATTTGTCAAAGTCGGTCATAGCGTTTTTTTGCAGTCGATTATCAGCCAGCCAGTTATTTCAGTAACTCTGTTCTCAAGTAAAAAAAAAGTCTCGTGTTTAGCAGTAATAATCTTTAGTCGTAGAAATCGGACGGACTCGCGGTCGGAGTTGTTTTTGAGAGGCGGAAAGAAGAAAGTTAAAACCGATTTCTAGCATCTGTTCTTCGGATATAATGAATAACTGAACGACTTAAGATTGGGTTCGTGTGTGTAAACCGCTAGATCAAGCTGAGAGGAACGATTTTGACGTTTCCCAAAAAAATCGGATCTTCAAGAGGTTGATTTGATGGATGGGTTCCTCGAGGTGAGAAAAAAGTCCAAAAAAACTAGCACACAACACTTGGCCAAGAGGTTAGGCGTCTTTGACTTCTGTGGCTTAAAACGCAGTTTTATTGCTTTTGAATATTCATTCTTTTCCTGGATGTCTTCACTAGAACTCAATATCTATTTCATGCTCCTAACTGTGATTTTCAATGAAAAGTGAGTTGTTTACTCATAAATATCGTAATTTTAATTTGAAAATGCTTTTTCGACATTGAACTCAAAAAGCAAGCCATCAATTAAGAATGAAGATTTGTATAACTTCAAAAGTTCACTCGTTCTCTCCTCAGACACGAGCTGATAATATTTCAATATGAAAATATTTTCAATACGTGGCTTTCCCGATTCTGACTTTCTTATCAACCCTACGCGCTACTTATTTGATTTGAACTTTGCCTGCTCCGATAAGAAACGTCAAGACGCACTGATCAGTCAATTTTTATGAGCTTATTATCGTCTCACCGTTCAGTGATATGATTTTTCGGGCTTCTTTTCTTCCCCATGCATTTTTCCACGACGAAGAGCGCCACTCTTTCGTTTTCCTTTTGTTGGAATTTTCATGAGAAAAGTCTAGGCTTTCAGAAAGTCGTACAAAAAGTAACGGCCCTTCATTTTATTTCCGTCTATAATATTTAGTTCTCCGAAGTTTAGTAGGATTTCTTTCAAGAATAAATGAAAGCGCTAAAAAAAGCCGTTTCAGCACAAATTCAAAAAAAAACTTTCAAAAAAATGTTTATTCACTTTCATAACTAACCAAACTTTCAATAACATTTTATACTTTTTATTTCTCCGAGGGATGGAAAAAACTCACAAAGGTAGAGGTGATATGTTATGGAGTCTTTTTGCTCGATTTGAAACTTCGCTGCAGAAAAACTGCCGCGGGGAGAAAACAAGAGTGCGTCTGACTTTGAAACTACTGTGGCGCGGTGGCAAGCCAATCAGCGACATTATAGAAAATTCTCTCGCTTAGGCTTTAACCGCACTCGATTAAAGCGAGTTTATTTTTCGTATCAGGGACTACTGAGATCCAATCTTTCAAAAGCTTAAATAAAAAAAATATATTATGCGGTAGAAAATAAGGAAACTAATAACACGAGCGCAAATTATAACTTTTTAATCATCTCCATAGCGACGCTATTTGTCACTCAATTAACACCCATTAACTTTTACTTACAAAAAATTCCCATAGTGAGCAAAGTAAAAAGACTGACCGGCATGCGGGAGAGCACCAGGGCGAGGTTGATCTTGGATAAGGCGCGAAGTTTATTCAGAATCCGAGTCTTTTTGAGTTTCCATTCCTCGGTATCGCGAAAATGTTTCTTCTTGACAAGCCATGTGTTGGCAGACGTCGAGGCCAATGTGTCGGTGCTCTGAAAAAAAAAACCGTTCGGTTTGACAAATGTTTCGTTTCTCTTAGTTTTTTGAACAACACCTGTTCGCTAAGTGCTTTTCCGGCTGTCAAGATAAACTAACATATCATTTTGATGAGCTGCTCGGTTTTCGGAAGCAATAAACTACTTTGTAGAGTCGAAACGACAGCAATTGTGAAAAAAATGAATAAACGTAGTACTGATTCTGGTTTTCCAAGAACGGGAATTTTCAAACCAATAAAAATCAATAATTATCGCTACTTTTGACCTCAATTATTTAGAACAAACTTTCTATCGGGATTTTTTCGTTACTTTTCTAGCTGATTAGGTGAAAGTGTTCAAATTGCAAAATACTTTTCTCTGAGCTTAATATGAGCAACTTTCAGGAATGCTGGGAGGTACGGCTCCTTGGGGCTGTCCTGCCAGTTGCTCACACCGCGGGAACTGTCTTAAACAGGGGAACCGTCTCTTGTGCCAGTGCTTCAGCGGCTACGAAGGCTTCGATTGCAGCCAAAAAATGGAAACTCTCTCTCCGGGAGCGGCAGGAGTTACGACGTCCGTTCCGCAGATCGAGCGAGAGACCTTGGCACTTGCGGTCGTGATTGCCGCAAGTAAGTATTCTTCACTTTTTTGCTTTGAATATTTTCAATATCCAGCCACTTCTATCTTCTTGTCGCTGTTCGTCATGTTCCTTCATTGGTTCAAAGAACGCCGTCGCCGACAGGGGAAAATTCGTTCAGGAAGCAGAACAGAACATCGAGAAATGCTGCAACTTCCAACGCCTAGCATCTATATTCAGCGTTAAACTTTCGCCGTGTGCTTTTTTCTGTTCATAAAGTGGAGTAGAGCTTGATCGTGTTTGGAAAATGCAAAGTTTTGTTTATAGTATGATCTATTCACGTGAATATTGCTAGACACCAGTTCCATGGTTCATAGTTCTCTCACAATCACGCGTCTGGTCTGAGAAAAGGCGAAACGGTTTGTCAAAAGAGAGATTCATGTGTCGTCGCAGCGTTTTTTTTCCCGAAAGATAGTGATGGAAGCGCCTTATCGCGCGAAAAATTCCTTTACACCGTGTCAACGTTTTGTAGGTTATGAAGTGATGACTTTTTGGCTGGTGTCTCGAGAAAAAAACCTCCAGCGGGAAAATGAAATTGTGAGCGGATGATTGATGATATGGAGAAGATAATTGGCCGAACGAGGATTTTCCATCACACCGGAAATATGAAGTTTTGAAGGGACATCAGAAATTTGTTGAAAAAGCTGAGGGCTAAAATTTGTCTTTAAAAATAAAAAAAGAAGTTTCATAAATTATAAAAGAAAATTTCGAAAAACCCCTATAGCTTCATAACTTTACTACTTTTTCTTGAAGTTTGAAAACCACCACTCATTTATAAAAATCTCTTGAATTAGCAGCTAAGTTTCTGAATGCGTGTATTTTTGAAATATTTTTTTCACTAAATTTCAAACTTTATTATTTGACGACTGAGATAGAAAAAAAGATTTTTTTATCCCGTTTCTTCTGCTTCTTCAAAATGACCAAGACAATTGTTTGTACCCGTTTACAACCAATAAAAAAGGCCTTACTGGCTTGTCTTTGGAGGCGCGAAAAAGATCCAGCATAATTTACAGCGTGTCGGTGCAATTGGAGAGTACCCGTCAACAAATTACTCAACAACCTTGAAAAAAGTAATTATTTTTAGAACAAACAGTTCGGCAACAAAACATGATAGCGCGGAGAAAAAGGAGTTCAAGAAAATCCTGTAATGATTAGCTTATTATCTATGAATTTTTACATGGAAACCGATGATAATATTGCAACAAAAAAAAAGAAAAACCCAGGAAATCCCCAGGTGAAAATTGAGTACGAGGAAAGAGTTAGGTAGTGTTACACTAGGAAAAAGACTTTTCGAAACGGAAGGTACCTATTGAGAAAAAAGAAAAATTGAAGTCATGACCAAAATCTCAAAAAATTTCAAGAAGTTAGAAACAGGTATTATCTTCTTAGTGAGATTTCCTTGAAATTATGACTGTTTTTGCACTTTCTCAGAAAAAAAGGAATTATGAATTTTGAATAATGGTCAGATCACTCCAGTCTTCACAAAAATTAATAGAAAAGGTGAAAGAAACCAAAATCACAAAATATGAAAGGAAAATGGATGGAAGGATACAATTGGTAAGACTAATTTCTTACATAAAAGCTAATAACTTTATTAAGTTTACTAAAACAACTTCCTCGCGTTCTCAAAAACTAGGTTCAAGAATTTTCCTATACTGGATAGGAATATTAACTTTTAGAACTACGAAAAAACAATTTAAAATCAAAACCAAGATTTTGAAAGGAACAAAAAAAGGAAAAAAGCAATTTCTGGCAGAGTCCAGACTTGGGATCATTCCTAAGATGTTCCAAGAGGACCTGAACAAGATTCCAAACGTTCTAATTCTAATAAAAACTGTCAATTTCGAAAACAAGACTCCGAGAAGAAGCTGAATGGATGAAAAAAAAAATGACAAGCAAGACGCTGGAAGATTTCGATCAAACAGAAATCGTCCACTCTCGCGTGGGAATGAAGATGAGTGCTTGTGAGGTAAGTGACGAGGAAGAAGAAGAGAAAAAAAAAGAGCCTAGGTAAAAATCGATTGATTGCAAATGTGAAAGGAGACATTTCCAGGAGAGCAGAACGAGGGGCAGCCAGAGTGCCTCCAACGGCTCGTTGTCACGTCGATTTTAAAGCGCATCGTTTCTGCAGAAACGATGATCCTCGGCAGCTGGTCACTTCACTGGGTCACTTCTCCGGTTTCGGTCCACGCAAACCGTTTTTTTCCGGTTTTTTTTAAAATGAATTTTCGAATAATTAACAATTCGAAGGTGAATTTAACGCATTACTTTGGAATGAAAGTTCAGTAATCAAGTTTTGAACTAATCGGTGCTGCAGTACTGAAGCTCCACCAAGGTGTTGAAAACAACAGCCATCGAATTTCCAGAAAGTTCAAGAAAGATTTATTTACAAGGAAGTTTCGTATCCATTCCGACGGAACTGTACCTTTTGCTCAGTTCACTCTAGCTTGAACGAGGTTTCCAATAAGGTCATCTAAACCTTATTCTTGCACAATTTTTTCTACTTATGACAAATCCTTCTCTGAAATTTGTCTCGAGCCCGTCTCAAGAGAATAAAAAAACTCTACAGTCTTTGTATTTTATTCAATTTTCCGAAAAGAACTTTCAAGGGTATGATAACCGACAAAAACAGAATTTGATTGTTTCAAAAATCGGTTTTTAAGCCCATCAAATGTGAAATCTGGTCGGTTTTACACAAGGTTTCGAAGTTGTAGCTTGGCGCATCGTGAATGGTATAACTGCGATTTTGAAACTTTCATTGAACATTGAATGAACCTTTGTTCTATCTGAAAGCTTAGGTTGATGAAGTCATAAACGTCAAGAAAAACGTTAGGAAAATGCGTCTGTTCAGTGAAAAACTTGGAGAAAAAAATTTTTCTTTTTTACCAAATCTTTTGCAAATTTGCTTTTTACTTTCAAACTTATCTTCTTGATCAAAGTTAGCAGAAGTCTATACAAAAAAAACTATCGAACAAAGAAGCGGGACTCTAAATACAATGAATTATAACTTTGGAACAGAGTTTTGAGCGTTTTTTTTTCTATGTTTTGAAACATTTGGGATTTTTTATATTCCGTCATTCAATCAATTTAAAAGCCAGATAAATCTTTAACCAGTCTTGATTGATGTTTAGTGTAAGAATTTTTCATTTCAAAAGCGCAAGAAGCGATTTTTCTAGGCTCTAAGGACACACTTGTCAGAAAAGCCCATTGTAGCAGTGGAGCAAATCTCGAACACATGTGTCTCCGTTGACGTATTATGTCAACGGAGGCAGGAATAAATTTCAAACAACTCGCACCCCGCGGAAAACGATGGCACTCGAGTGCAGACGGTTACCCGTCGGCCCGTACTTCCGTCGTAAGAAGTGACTTCCGTGCTGCTCCTTCAGGACGTGGTTCAACGACACTGACGACGACATTAGCGAGTAGTCGTTACTGCAAAAAATAGGAACAAATCTTCTTAAATTCTTGTTTTTTCAATAATTTTATTGCAGATCGTTGCAATGGAATTTGATGTCAAAGAGGCTTCATTTATACCATAATGAAAAAAAATTATCAAAGATTTTCAATTTCTGAATTCTGCCTATTTTTGGCTAATCGAGTGTAGATCTGATAAATTGGATTTGAGTCGATAAGGAAAGTTTGGGAAATATGCAAAAAATGAAGACCGAAATCTGCTATTTAATGGCTTTCTTTTAGTCTTCATACCAATTTTCTGCAAAACTTTTTTTGCGCCGTTGAAAATTTTCAGGACATCAATCTCATTCTTCTTTCCATAAGGTATACTCGCTAAAACACTAAAGTCAAAAAACAACGACTCCTCACCAAATTAGACGTCTATCCATGGTTGAAGTGCGCAGAAGCCCACTTTGGACCATACGCTTGCGAAGCAGCGAAGACTGGATGATTTCAGTAACGGCTGAATATCTCAAAGAATCTTCTGATTGATCAAGCAAATAAACTTGGCCAACCCAATATTTGTCCCCTCACAGGTGTCAAAAAATGACACATTATCGATTTAGAAAAATTATAGTTAACTTGAATTATAACTATTAAAATAAAGCAACATGAAATGAGGAAAAAAAAAAAACTTTCATACAACTTTCGAAATTTTTTTCTTTTAGATCGGTGTCGAAGAAAAGGCGAGAAATTTCATTACTGACCAAAAAAACTGTATTTATGCATTATTTAATATTCAGAAAATATGAAAAACTGATAAATTTGAAAAAAATAACCTCGTTTTAATAGAAAAAAATTCTCATAAAAAAAGGAAGGAATAATCCAAAAGCTAACAAATTTTCAAATTCCCAAAAATCTACCGATTTCAAACACTCACCATCATCCAAATTGGGGCTGAGCATAGTTTGAAAGAGTGAATCAGTATCAATCCGATTCGAAGTTGCTATCGCCCGTCTGTATATTTGATAGATTTTTGGCCTCCACTCTACGCAACACTCCATCCTCAAACATTCTTGATTTATCTGCGATATTGAGAAAAAATATTTTTTTCAAGAATGCAGAAGGAAAATTTTGGAGATAAGAGAAAAAAACGTAATTTGGTCCCTTCAAAACTAGGCGAATAACGTGAAAAATAATCATCTCGCTATAAAATTTTTATTTTTTTAAGTATATCATTCCCTAAGTTTTTAACTAAAATTTTTTTCTGGGTATCGTGAGCAAAAATAAAAAAATATTTGCGAATCAAAAAGAAACCATTGATATTTTTTTCACTGAAATTTTTCCTCAATCATTTCTTTTCTAGCGAATTCCAGTAGCTCTGAAACCCATGAAAATATTGATATTTTTTTAAAAAAATTCCTGGCTTTTTTTGATTTAGAAGTGTGCTCTATTGAACAATTTCGCTCACCTTGCATTATCTGAAATTTTCTTTCAATTTCGTAGTTTATGGTTGTGTTGCGTTGAAATAAATTCATTTTGAGAAGGAAATAAACGTCAAAGGCTTTCCACCAAGGAAGGCAGCTCAATTTTTTTGCTGAAGAGAAATAAAATACTTTTTAAGTTATAAATCTCCTACAATGATGATTATTCTGAACTTTCAAAAAGTTTCCAACCAGAGAATGAAGTTTTTTTCATCCGTCAGGGAGAAAATGAACATTTTAGGAACTGTGTGATTTTTTTATCAAGCTTTCTTTTCTAATAACCCAAATGGAAATATTGAAATATAAGTTGTGTACTCTCTTCAGTTGAAGTCCTCAGTTTCAGTTTAGATTGCTCAAACTTTCATATTGTGTCTCATTTCGCTTCTTAGTCGTAATATCTCTGTTCTGATCATTGAACAGTTTTGGAATAAGACAGAATTGAGAAAAAATTTAGCCCTGGGCGATTGCAGACGTCTTTATTGCGTGCGCCGCTTCATCCAGCGGATATTCGGCCTCGGAGCTCATCATTCACCTTTGCCCAGCGTCTTTCGTTTCAGTTTTTCCTTTCCGTGGAGAATAAAAGATGTTCGAATTGACTTGAAATGGACTCTTTTGTTTTTTCAAATGATGCGCCTTGAGAAAAGTATTTGTCTTTTCTGGAGGCTTATTTATGAGTAAGTTTACAAGGGCTCATTTTATTCGAACTTCGATTAATTTCTAATGATGCTTTCGAACAAAAATTCAACTTGAACTAATTCCAACTATTTTTCAAGGCTAAAATTTCATTCATGACTATTTCTGGATTCTAGGATTTTTTTCTTGAAGAACTTATGAATGAATAATGTCTATATTCTGAATTCTCCGCACTTTGTTCTCTGGCAAAAATTTTTTTACGTAAAAAAAGATCGTTTCTTCAAAATTACATACATTTAGAAGTTTGAACTTTTTCCTGTTCATAAACGATTGTATACACATTTACTTTTTTTAGTTTTCCATGACGAGGAAAAAGGTAAAATGGCCCTCGTGCAAAGTAGTCATTACAAGTGTTGTTAAAGCTTTGTTCAGGTAGGTTTTCGATTCATTTTTCTGCCAATTTCTGTTGTGAAATAAGGTGAGTGTCTCAAAATGTACTCCAGAACCGCAATACTTTTCACAAATTTTTATCTTTTGCTCATTTTCTTCATGAGGGGCTTTCGTTTCACGTGCGAAAAACTACTGAAACTTGATCATTAATTTAAAAAACTTTAACTTTAATACTTGAATTTTGCAGGCTACTTGGGAAAAAAATGTTTCGATTCAAAACTTGCTTCTGACTGTGAAATAAAAATTATGATAGGTTTTGAAATAAGGCTGCAGGAGCAAAATTACAATTTTTGCTCAAAGAAAAGTGTGGGAAGCAAGGCAAAATGAAGCCATTTCAACCGAGGATCTGAATCGAAGATCCTCCATAATTCATTTAAAAATAATGACCTCATTGATGTCACTTTTTGATTGGAGATTCAGTTAAAATTAATCCATCATTTCCTCAACCTTTTTTCAACTTGATTTTTGACGTCATGTGCGTTCTTAGAACCATTATCCACCAGAAATCTCTTCCCGAGGAGCCTCAAAACAAAAAGAATGCGCTTGATTGGTGGGATGTACAATCCCAGAACGAAATTGGCTCACATGCCCAAACATGGCGGTCAGCGCGAAAAATTTGGTTAACACCGGATTCCAGGCCGCCTCTTTGTCTCCTTTCGCTGCCCTTGCCGTTTTCAATACATATGCAATTGCCTTTTCCTCCTTTTTTCATAATTTATTGCAAAAGTTCATCGCTACTTTGGCTTTTCATCAGCATGAGTATCAAGTTGGGCGTAAAGAGATGATTCTGTTTGTTTGGATAGTCTTTCAGGCGGAAAATCATGGCTCAGAGGAATCTGGGACAAGCTCAGGCGAGGGTGACGTGGATCTGAATCAAACTGGCGACTTTCCTTTCTGAGAAACTGCGTTTTTTGCGATTGCTAGGCATATAATGGAAAAAGTTTCGAAAAATTTGAGAAAAAGCTAAAAAGTAAGCTGTGCTGTTTTTTTCATGAAGAATTGTCATATCTGTTCATTCAGCCTCTTTTCAATCAAATTCTAATGATTTTTCGCCGGGAAAGTCTTCAATTGATAGTTCATCGAGTTGCTTCAGAATGAAATTGGCTCCAAACGGAAAAAATCACTTTCAAACAAAAGTAAAAAATAACCTTGAAGCGACAAACTTAATTTTTTTTTGGTTCTATTCACCTTAAAAATTAGTAGGATTCCAAACTTTTTTCGAGAATTTTCCAAATTATTCTGTCAGCTTCTATTTCAAGCCAAGCATTTTTTCTGAGCGGCCCGCAATCTCAAAACCGTCTAGCCATTTCTTAGAGCCGTCCTTAGGGACACTCCAACCAGGAAAATCCTTGTGACGTGAAAACTAATAGCCATTTTATAGTAATTGATTTCGGAAAACAATAAGTCCTGCCAAAAAACAACAGGGACTGCATTACTCGTTTGAAAAGCGTTATATATGTTTTCCGAAAGGCTAGCTATAATGATATATTTCCTCCTGGATGCGCTTTCCGTCCGGAAATTGAGCCGCGACGGCAGGTTCTGTTGTTTGAGGCGAAACAAAAACAGAAGGAAATAAAGGGTGTAACGAACGTGGGCAGATATGAAATGAAGAATAAATGTGCTGAGCGGAAAATTAGCCAAATCGTGGCTTCTGGACCTGCTACAGCTCCTCTCCATGCACTTGTACACACGTGTGTTTCTTCGTTACTTTGTTCCTTGGTTCGAAGATGAAGCTGATTAGAAAGAAAAACCCGGAAGATTTCAATTAGAATTGTGAGGGCGTTCGTTATTTGCCCTTGGTCACAAGTTCATGACTAGACTGCTTTTTTTATGACTTTTCTTGTTTTTTGACACTACGTTAATTTTTTTTTACGTCTTATGTAATTATTCATTTGAATCGTCGTAATTGAAGCTCTTCTAAATGCAATACAAAACGTGGACATAGGTTTTTTCGATCCAATTTTCTTCACAGTTCTGCGCTTCTTTTTAACTTTTTTCGATATAGAGAGTTTTTATTTGGAATTTCCAAAGAACTCGCGTCAGCCTAAAGATTTAAGTTTTCGGTTTTTTTTTCTGGATTCTCGTGTTCACACAAATTAAACCTGTTAAAGAAAATTTTTTTTTATTTTTGAACTAAATTTTGAATAGGGAAGTCGTACTCAAGCAGAAATTAATGCCTTCCATTTTTTACCAGAAAAATAAATGAACCATCATCCTGTTACTTCTGAAAAATCTTTCATACTTTTTTTTTCAAAATTCGAAGAAAAAGGTGTTATTCCACCATTTCAGTTCCTTTTTTTAAATTTCTGACAAGAAACGTGAGCGTCATCCAATTGAAGCATTACTATTTTTGTGGAAAATTGAAAACTTCAGTTGGTAGGAGGAAGTGAACTTACTCGGATACAAATTTTCTTCGAAAGATTATCAAAAAAGCTCATCTCAAGCTGCTAAGATTAACGCCTTAAAAGCAGGTAACATGAGAAACTATGTGACATAGACTAATCCTGAGCTGAAATGCGAGTTAAAGCCATCTGAATAGGTCAGTTCTAAAAGGAGCATTTTTCTTTTTTTTTTTTGGATTTTTTCGCGAAAAAGATAGGAGAAAGAATAATAAACAGTATGGAGTGAGTATCAAGAATAATAAAATGGATTTTCACAGCATTCTAGATTTTATGATGTGAAAATTTCTTGCGTTTTTGCTATTTCAACTTTTTTTTTCTATTTTCTAAGTTCGTCATCCCTTGAATATCAGTCTGTTCTTATCAATTATTTGATTTTTCACAGTTTCTGCAAAACTCTCGCAAAGAGACATTTAAAAAAAACGCATTTTTTTTCGGCAGTACATGGAGACTTTGATTCGATCCTAATCAGAATGATACTGTGAGGCTTCAAGAAATTCGCTCTCCATCGAATTTCTGAATATCTGAGATTTTTTTTGCAGATTATTGAGACCTGCTCGAGTTCAGAAAAAAGTTTGCACCATCAAAAAAAAAGAAGTTTTTTTTGGCAAGCTTGACGTTATCAGTAATCCCCCATTTCTAAAGATAGCTTCGTATGATTTTTTTTTTTGCTCGAAAGATCATGTGTCATATTCAGAATATTCTGACCTAATAATAGAACGAGCCAAATTTTCAACTAGAAACTTTTACAAGTCATCTTTTGCAGCAAATAATTCATGAGAACGTCGGTCTTGATCGCGTAAATAGAATATTTTAGCGCATCCGCTAATGATGAAATAATTTGGTAGGTCATAAAAGCACTTGAAGATATATGACCAATTCGGGCAGGCAAAACGTGTTTTTATAGCTCAGAAAACGTTGGAATTGCCACGAAAATTGGCTTGTTAATCTCTGCGTTTAGAAGAGTTTTAGCTGTGATTTTCGATACCAAGTTCAGTTTTTATGGCCTGAAGGAATTGGATTTTTGAGTTTCATTATATCATAAACGATTGAAATTCAATTACTCATAGCTAGCCCAAATTTTGGGATCTTTTTCTTGTTTTATTTTTTACGGTCCATTCATCTCCCTAAGGTATTGTACAGATTTCCAACTGCAGCTTTTGATTTTTCCCAGAAAAACACAGATAATTGATCAATACTGCAAGAAAGCCGGACAGTAGATTTTCAAGCTGCATTCCTTCTTTTCAATTTTTTCTACCGATTTGAAGTTTTATGAAAAACAACCTATAACCATTTATTGTTCGAGAATTCTCCCCAACTTCTCGCTTTTTGGCTTCAAAAAAAAAAGCGAACGTCAATTTTCTTTTTTGGGCTTAAAGGGGGCGGAGCTTCGCGGTTTTTACCTTTGAAATACTCATTCAGCCACTCTTTGAGCCAATACTACCTTGAGTGCGCTTATTAATGGATCACTGCATTTTCTCCGATCTTTTCATCTACTCCTTGTTTTTCCCACGCATCAAATGTTACTCATACTACCGGAATAATTTCTCTATTCGGCCTCTCAATTATTTTCTTCAGAGATTAGCTGAAATCCTTATCATCATTTAAAGTTTTGCCTTTGTTTTCACAGAGTTTTTTTCAATTTCGAACGGCCAGTGGGTGGTCCGAGGGTTGAATTTCTTGCTCATGAGTGAGCAAACACCATTTTCATCGTCTCACTTGCCATAAATTTGGTAAAGTCGTCCCTTTTTTCTAGTCGAACGCTGTTGGAAGATCCTCTGTTCTCAATTTTGAGTTGAGACCAAATCCGAGTAGTTCAGAATCTCATTAAAAAAAGGTAATCCTTTACACTAACTCACTGTGTCAAATATTGCATTTAGAACTTCTTCAAAACTTTTGAAACTTATTTTATTTTCTCTTTTCCCCTTGCCAGAACTTACATGAAATTTGTTTTTTTGGAATTATTTTTTTGTCATCTTTCCAGAAAAAAATTTATTTTTCATCGCAATTGGTTCAAAAATATAAATCTATGAACGGCAGTTACCATCAGAATGTTTAAAGCACAAAAAGTTTGCAGTTGGATATTTTTTTGAACTCTCTCACATTTTTTGCAATCCATCTGAGAAAGAAATTGAACTTCTGAACTTGAGATTAGTACATGACATTCCTTTGACAAGGACAAAAGTATTTCTCCGTTCTCAGCTTATTTTTGAAGAAATTTTCTATAAATACACACTAGTCTTTTGTCATTTTCTTAAGAAAAGTTTTCTTGACGTGAATGTAAGAAGAAGTTCAAAACCTGCCGTCCACAATTGCTCACCTTTATTAGACATGATTCATAATTTTTTGACTGTCTTGCGTGATAATTCGAAAACATCACTTCCTCGTGCTTCATTTCCTGATTCCACCTTTTGAAATTCTCTTTCTTCTCATTTTAACTGAAAAAACAGTCTGCGGAGCAGTAGGATTTTAGGGAGCCATAAGCGAACCTAATCAGGAGTATCGAATCTTCTTCCGCTGTCCAAATAACGAGGCCAATTTTGTGAGGTTCGAGGCACACAAATGAAGAGATGTGACCTCACACAGGATAGAAATGTCACCTCTCGTTTGCATTTTTGCAACGGATATGTTATTCTGGGATTTGAGGTTCAGACAGTTCTACGAAATTTATGACAGTTCTTTTGGTCAGAAAGAAGTTTTCTGGAGACTTCTAGAGCTGGAGCAAAATATGTTCATCCCGTTTTTCATAAAGTTGGTACAGTTGATCGTTGAGAATTTTGAACAAGGCCTTGGCTTTTTTTACTTTTGCCTTTCATCCATCGACAGGCATTTTTTTTTATCTCTGGTCTTTTCCACATATTCTGGTTCATTCAATCAGTACCGGCTTCTACAAATTTTTTTAAAATTTTTTCAACTATGTCCCAATTTTCTTACTATTTTCCTTCTACCAATGGTTTCTGTAAAGATTTCTGTCTTTGTCGGTCTATAAAAGGTCTTTGGAAAGTTTTTTCACCTTGAGTTCTGAAAAGAGACCATTTTTATACTTCTCTCATAGTCCATACTGTTCTCCTCCCTTCTACTTTGCAAAAACGAAAAAAAAACCTTGTTTCGTGGATTGTTGGGAGTTGCTTCCTATATTGATACAAAATAAACTGAGAAAAAAACTTTTTAAAACTCGATTTTTTTGCTGTGAAAAAAACTTTCTGAAAACGTAATTCGTTAAGTTTATGAAACTTGAAGCAGCCATTTTTTTCTCATTTTTGATGAAAAATTTTTTTGAGCTTGAAACATCTTCAAGTCAAAAAAAGCGGAACTTACTAAATTTTTTTAATGCAGAAAAAAATTTATTTTTTTATTTTTTTGTTCACGAACTCTGGATTTTTTTGAAAAACGTTATCCTTTTCAGATTATAATACAGGCCAATCTTTTTCTCTTTTTTTTGATCAGGTTTGGCTAGTTTTCCCTTTTTTAAATGCAATTCCTCAAAAATATCAAGCCCCCTGACTTTCTCGGTACGAATTCACGAAATTCAATTTTATTCTACATTATCTTGTTTTTGTCTGGGTTCCTTGTCGCGGCTTATTCATTTGATTTTGTCAAAAACCAATCATAATCGGATCAACTAATTTCAGAAAATGCATGAGATAAACATCTCGGAGTATACACCTTTGGTAATTTTATTCATTTCAAATCAATGATTTCAATTTTTCCTAATTCAGGACTGGGCTCTTCCCTTATACGGCTACGTTATGCCTGTTTTAGTGGCGCTAACGACGTTGATTAACTCTTTTATCATTATTGTCCTATCACACAGACATCTTCGAACCCCTACGAACACGGTGCTCCTCACCATGGCCGTTACTGACTTGCTCACAGGTTTGCTTGGAAATTTCATTCATAAACCTTTTTTTCTGAGCCTTCTCTAGTTTTCACAGTGTAGATTACATTTTCTCTGTTCAACACTTGAAAAAAAAATTCAAAAAAATTCACTCCTCCGAAAGCTTTTTAGAGGCCATTTGTAACAGCAATCGGAGAAATACCATTTCAGAACGCCAGAACGTTCCAAAACGTGAAAACCAAAAACGTATAAAAAATCTTCAAAAAGTCAATCGGAATCTTCAGTTTTTTCTCAGAAAAAATGAGTGAAACTGAAACTTAATCTGAGTATCGAATTTCAAAAGTTCATTCAATCTTTGTCAAATATCCGATTTCAGGTGTTCTGACCATTGGTCGATAAATGGCATTAAATTCAAGATTTTCATTTTGTTTTAAGCTTAAAATGTTTAAAGTTTTTCAAGGCTGTGAGGAAAAATTTGAAGAACGCGAAAAAAACGTTTTTCAATAATTTAAATGTTGAAGATGAATATTCGAATTTTTTTCAGGCTGCACGTCAGTTCCATGGTTTCTGTACTACTACACTTTTCAAGGTTATCAGACCGATTCAGGTAGAAAATACCCGAGTTTTTCATTTTACAATCTATCTCGAATTTAGACTTCGGTTTGGACACCTTCTGGTGCCACGCGCACGCCTACCTGTTGGAAATATTACCTTCAATTTTTCACACGGCGGCGATTTGGCTGACTGTATTTTTAGCCATTCAAAGATACGTCTATGTCTGCGTACCGAACACAGTTCATCTTTACTGCACTCCTAAAATGACCAAAGTCATTATTATGATTATTTTTCTGGTGGGTACTCGTTTTCTTTCCTTGTTTGATACAGACCAACTTAAAACTTTGAAAAGAAAGCTGTAAAACCAGAATAGTCTGAAACCCGAAATCATTTTTTACTGGAGATTATATTTGAAATTGCTTAGTTTTTCTTTCATGCTTGAAACTAGGAAACCAAGCCCGGATTGGAAAGCCATAATCCAAAAAGTAATCAGCATCAACAGCATATATATCATCTCATCAATACTTCGTGTTAAAAAAATAATAATAAAAAAATTAATCGACACTGAGAAAACTGAAGGAAAAAGATGTGGTCGTTCCGTTAAAGAAAACTTTTGAGTATTAAGTTTTTTTCTTATAAATTCAACAATTTTTTTGGGTATCGAAGAATAACTTTGACCATTAGATAATTTTTTTGAATGGAAACTGTCATAGTTTTAAAAAATTTTTATCCGATTTTTTTCATTTAAAAGTGTTTAGAAGACAAATTTTAATATTCATTCTTCAGATTCTTTTTCAGAAGAGCAAGAAGAAAAATTGCTTCCTAAAGTGAAAAAAAATCGAACCGAAAAAAAAACTCATGTGATTTTTATAGACATCGAGCTTCCATTGAATTCCTGTGCAATTATTTTTTCAGGGCTCATTCCTCTCTGTGCTCCCAGAAATTCTAGGAAAGCAGAGATTATCGAAGCAGGTTGGCCAAAGGTACTTTTGCTACCTCACAATCGTCCCATGGATTGTTAATGTTTGTGTTTTATTAATCAATGATGTGAGCTATTCACGCTTTCAGAATATTGGCAAAGACGTCTTCTATTCAGTTTTCTACTGGTCCAGAGTGATATTACACGCGGTTCCTTGTGGTCTTTTGCTTGTGAGTTTGAACTCGGAAACTATGAGCTGTTTCATTTTTCAGGTTTTCACCCTGAAACTTGGAAGTACGATAAAGCAAGCCGAGATTCGGAAAAAGTCGTTCGCCCACCCTGTTGACATGGAAAGAAAAACAAGCTATGCCAGGTTTTCGCTTCTTTTTGATTGCTTGTGTCAAAATAATTCAATCTAAAATACGAAAAACAGTAAGTTAGTAAAAGGAACGGAGTTTCTGTTCATTTCAATGCTTCCAATTTCGTAGAATTATTTTTAAAAAACCAGTTTTTTCAAAGGGGCTCGGATTTCAGTAGAATCTCCACTGGATCTGGAGTCGGTGGTGGACGAAGTTTATACGCCACAAATCGTATGCTTGCTCTGATCTGCACTTGGTTCCTTCTTCTGGAGGTAAAAGTTTTTATTCCTTTTTCTCAGGAGTAGATTCTTTTTTTCAGACCTGAAAAAGGCCTTATTATTACAAAGCACACTGAAAAAAATAATTTTTGCAAGAGAGCTTATAAAAAAATCTGTGTTTGGAAAGGTTTTTTTAAGATTTTATATTTTTCAGATTTCAATTATCCGAGCGATTGAATATTCCCACTTGGAATTTCAACATTCGTTCCGTAAAATTAAGATTTTTTCTCTGAAACTTTCGCTCATTTCAAGTTGAAGCTTTTTCAAGAACTCTTTGTTTGTTTCGGTAATTTTTTCTAGCTCAAATAACCGCAAAGATAGGAAGTAGAACCTGATTTGCCTTTGAATAGATTTTCAGAAAAAAAAACTGACTTTTCGCTGTTATTTTGGTTTTTTTCCCCTCCAAAAGACTTTTTCTAACATGACCCCCAGTTCTGAAGGCTTAAAATGCGGCTAGGTGAGACGAGAAGTAACTTCGCCGAACTTCCTTTGTCCACACAAAGCCGAGCCGTCTAAAAAATTTACTTATCTCTCCGTCGGCTGTGGAACAGACTGGCGGGGGAGAAGAAAAAGAAAAAAAAAGAAGTTTTTTTTGGACGAACAAAGGGCCGCCGAAACATTCACTCGAAATGTTCCGCCACACGTGCTGGCCGGCTTTTCCATTGTTTTTGGAGGTGCTTAATTGGATTCAAGCAACTGCTTTCCACTCATACGATACTTCAGTGGAGGAGCCGAGCCGCTCCACAAACACTCAGATTTATTTTTGAGAGGTTTCAGATACCGGCTGCGATCATCTACGTGATGCACTTCCTGGTCGCCAATCAGTTCATTAAAGCCAGTCCTGGGTACTACGTCTTCTTCAACAGGCTTCTGGTCATAAGGTGTGGTCCCAAGCAATATGAAATAAAAATTGAGCCAAAAAATCAAAATGATTTATTTATGCCTTTAATTTTGTTATATAATCAGAAAAAATTGGAACTTTTTTTCTAAAAATTTAAAAGTAGTTGAGTTTGTTGCAGATTGCGTCAGACTACTATCTAACTGACGTGAATTGATTCCTTAGTTACACACTTTTTAAAATTAGTAGATTCTTAGTTAAATTTATTATCACTGCGTTGGAGAGAAAGAGGTAAAAAAAGATTGGACGCTTGTACTAAGATTAAAAAGTCCAATTTTTCGTTCGAAAAAAATTTTTTTAGAAGTTTTTATAAAAAGACTATGAGAAAAAAACAGAATCGATGAATAGTTTCAGCAGTAGGCCAAACAAAAAAAAATTTTTTTCATGGCAAAATGAATAATTGTTTTTTTGCAATCAAAACTTTTTTTCTGTGCATTTTTATAGATTTTGTAATCATTCTGAAAAAATCTTCAAAGACATTGATAGTTAGGGTATCTTTTCAGAAACATTCTCATCGTTCTTGCCAGCCCATTCCAGTTTGCAATCTACTGCTCCATGTCAGAGCAGTTTCGATTGACCGTTCGACAATTATTCACTTCCCGACTTTTATTCGTAGCTCAAGCCCAGGCAACTTTCCATGGTGGAAAAAGGTATTTTGTTCTTAACTATAAGCTCCTTCAACATTTTTTCAAGATATTCGTTGATTCTCGTTGATGTGGATACACTGGAAACCAAGAAAAGGACGACGAGTGTGCGGCTTTCTCGGTTCCTGGAAAAGTGAGTTTTTCTACCTAGACTTTGAAAAACGTGGAATTTTAGCTTCACGACATCTTCTACCGTAGAAGTCCAACCTAGAAGAAAACTGAATCGACAGTCGTCTTTTCCGGAAGAACTCAGAGCTTCTAGAGATGAGAATGGAATTGGGTTGTGTCGTGGGCAGCGCACACTTTCGACCAAAGAAAAAAATTCTCGTGAAACTTCAGTTTCTCAGTACAGTATGTTTTGAACAAATCTCCAAATATCAGTAATTATTTTCGCAGGAAAAAGCGGGAATACGGTATCCTTCTCAAGACTTCCTTCTCTTTCGATCGACGAAGATGCTTCGAATTTAAACCTACCAAAAAATGGAACCCACCTCACAGTTCCTCAAATTCAAATTGATATGTATGACTAGATTTACAGGTTCGGAAAAAAACTTCATTTTTTCTCGATCTCGTGGCACTTGGAAGAACCTGTTCAGCTCTTGAACTTTGATCAAAAACTCTGCAATTTCGCGTTGAAAAAAAAGCTTGATGAATCTTTCTAGACTATTTTTTGATCTCCTAAAATCAGAAGTTTTCATTTCCCCCAAAATCCAATAAGCTGATTATAATTGTATTTTGAAGATTCTGAATTTTACTGATGGACCATAACTCTTATTTAGTATTTTTGGATATTGTTCGGATTTCTGTGAGCATCTCTTTGTACCTATTTTTCAGCCTTTTCTTGAAAACTCCTCGTCGTCGCATGGATACTACCTTGCTCTTCACAAATTATGTTTCTTCCCGGCTCCAGTTTTTCTTCCGTCTCAGTTCCTAGTATTGCTACGAGTTTCATTTTTGAAAAACGCATCTCTCGCCTTTCAAAACTTGTTTCTTCCCCTACGAAGTACACATTCCAACGTGTTCAAACTTATAGGCAATGATCTCTCAGCGCGGCTTGGCCGCTTCAAAATACATATCCTCGATGCAATAAATTGTAAATTATTTGAATTATTGCGAAAATGGAGGAAGAAAGCTGGGAGTCTGCCAGAAAAGACAAGGAAGTGGCGCCCCAATCCCGGAGCTCCTAATTTCATTACACGTTGCCGTTAACATTTCTCTGTTTAGAAATTTGGCTCCATTTGGCACAATCCTTCACGTTGAGTCGTTGTCTGCGAGGCGGTGACGCTTTTTCTCCTTATTTTTCTCCTTTATTACGTAGATATTAATTTGGTGAATATTTTTCAGAAAATTTCAAGCTTTATCAGCAATCTTATTCGTTTAAAATGAAAAATAGAAGTTTAATCGAATTTTTCCCATTTTTCGATAGTCGAAAAAAAAAGTCAACCTGACAAAGAAAGTTTTCCGTGTGCCATCGAAAAATTAGATCACAGATTTGTTCATGAAAGTTTTGGCTTTTCAGTCGAGTTATGAAGCCTTAAAATTTCTATCGGTTTAATGAAAAAAGAAGGTTTTAGGGGTCATTTGAAACCGGAATAATACAACTACAGAAGTAAAAAAAAGAAAACGAGCAATTTTTGGAATTGAAATGGAGTATCGAAGCGAATCTCTTTCTATAAATTCTGAAACGGCAATTCAAAAAAAAAATTTTCGTTTTGAGTATTTTTGCCGCTATATATTACACTCTTAAAAGAAAGAAAGAAAGCAAGTAGCTTATAGTCGGGCGGCGTTTCAATTTTCAAGCCTTTCGAAACTTTCCAAGCAGAGGTAGTTTTTTTCTGTAACCAGAAGAGTTTAAAAACAAGTGTTATAAATATTCTTCTATTCTCAGCTTTTTTCGACCCTTCTCGATCATCCAGGAACAAATCTTAGGCCTACAACCTCGTAGAATGATGTCATTTTCTAACAAAAAAATTTTAAAACCACATGTGCTTTATTGCACAACCGCAGTCTATTCAACCTTATTTATTTCTTTTACGTTTTTCAAGTCTGTGAAAAAACAGGACATGACCTCCTGAATAGCTCCGTGTCTTGAAACATAATTATAGATTTGCAACGTGACCACTTTTTTTTAATTGTCGTTTTTTTATTGGCAATTTCTTTTATACAGCAGGGAGAAGGATGTTTTTTTGATATTTGTAGTGGAAGAATCTGCAAAGAAAGGTAGGTACGAGGAATATTTTTCTTATCTTCATAATTCTCGGATTCGTCTCAAAATAGTTGAAATGGTTCTTTTTTCAAATTTTTAAACAGAGAAAATAAAAAGTCATTGAAAATTTGACTCTTCTGTTACAAGAAAGGTCATTTTGTTTTGAGATCGGAAATTCATCGTTACCTAGCCCAAACACTTATTGATGTACTAGAACAAAATTCTGAAAACCTCAAGTTGTACAACTTCTTTTTTTTCCGAGAAATAAAGAACGGAGCTCCATAATGACTCGTTTTTTTGATTGTGAGATTTTTTTAAAACTTTTTCTCTAATAAATCAATTAATACTCAATGAAAGTAAAACCAAAAGATTTTTTTTGGATCGAACAGAAATCCTTTCTTGAAAGAAGAGGAGAATAAAGAAAAAGCAACAAAATTGTTTATTTCTTCATTGTGAATTTGAGCTTTTATTTATTTAACGCTGTTAACCGTCAAAAAGGCCCTATTTTTCTCATTGAGCTCAGATTTTGTTTATTTACCAGCCATTCATCCGTCCAGTTATTTTTCTATTTTTCAAAGCTGATTATACTCTGAACAGACCAGACTTCACTGAGGTTGAAATAAACTTCAGTCGTCGCTAATTTCTCCAGACTTCCCTCGGAACTCCCATATTTTGACGTTTATCTTTGTATTTCAAATACGTATTTAGAGGAGTATATTGTATTGCGCGTAGCGGAAAAACAAGCCCTGGGCCTTGGGTCGGTGGAAATTGCATTGTTTCGGTTTTAGCGGTCGGTACCTTGCAAATCCGCGCGGAAGCAATTTCGTCATTCATCAACTCGTCGGGGCCAAACTCTTCTTTCCCACTGCTTCGAGACTTTTTCGGCTTGTTCCTTATAGGTGCCACTTTTTCGATTTTTTTCGGTTGGTCAACTCCCATTGAAGTGAAGCGTCAACCACCTGGGACAACTATAAATGTTGCACTTCCCTTCTGAAAAAAAAACTGGACAATGGGAATTTTTTAATGTTTGAAATGTTGTGTTTTGTGTAGGCGTTCGCATACTTTGAAAATTCTTTTTGGTTCTACAAAGATTCCCTGATACTCAGCTTCCCACTGTTATTTTGACAAGTTTCAGGAGAGAATTTCTCATTTGAAAGTTTAACGAGCTCTGTCCCTTTTTGAAAATGAACCGAACTGAAAGTTAAATTATCATAGAAAACTGAATTTTACAAATTTTTTTCGAATGTTTGAAAATTACGCATAAAAAGTGCCTTTCAAACAATGTGCACATGTTTTTCTCTAGTTTGACCTCATTGAAATCCACTTCATTCAAAAAAATTTATAATTTTTTTGCTTTTTTTAAAAAGCTATGCAATCAACTCTTTCATTTTAAATTTTTTAGCGTATCACTTGTTTTTGCTCACTTCCCTGAATTCAAGGATGTGAATTTGAAATTCAGTCAATTTTCATTGAAGAGAAGCCCACCTGAAACATTCATGAATGCTGCACTTTCTCTATAAACAAGCGACAAAAAAACTTTTTTTCTGTGTTGGAATTGCTGTGTAGGCGTTTCCAGGATTATTAAGGTCTTTTGTGTCTTTCTAAGGTTCTTACAAAAATCGTTGTCAGTATTTTTATGGAATGAATCCGTCAAAAGTTTCATTTCTGTTCTTTTTTCTTGTAATTTTTGTTTGAAAAAGTCATTCCTTTAAATCACCTCTTTTGAAAACTACGGTTGAAAACGTTTCGAAGCTGAAATTTAAAAGGCTATTTTAGGCGGCTTTTATGATTTCGTCAGTACTCTGTCCTGAACTGTCCTTTTCTTCTATCCAGATTTTTACTGAGAATTTTCGTGATAAGAATTCTCTTTTTCGATAAGTAGGTACTTCTTTTTGTCCTAGAAATACGCATCACAAAGAGGCCGTTCCAGATTTGAATACCTTGATTAGGAGTTTTTCTGTGAATAACTCCATTTTTATTTTTAACTCTATCTATTTTCCAATCTCCCAAAGTTCCTTTACACACCGGATAGTTCCAAGTAGAAACGTCCTGGTGTACATTACTTTTCTCAAACCAGATCTTCGAAACGGCAAAAGCAACTTCGAATTCCAAAGACATAAGGAACAAAGCGAGGAGAGTGACGTACGGAAATGTTTGAAAACCTGGATTGGAAGGTCAAAAGAGGCACAAGTCAAGGCATAATGGATCCAAAGTTTGTCGTTGGCTGCCGTTTTTATTGGCCAATTGCTTTTATGCAACTCGAGGTGTGACGATTTTCGGCTCCGACCGATGAAATTCATTGGTTTCGCTTGGAAATTCCCAACTTTTTTTGAGAGCTTGCATCAACTTTTAATTGCAATCCACTCTAGTTTGTGGCCTCGTATGTATCTTCATATAAGATTTTTTTACATTCTTACCCATGTAGAAGAACAAATTCCGGTTTCAGGACTTTGATTAAGACAATTTTCCTTCGAATTTGGTCGTTTTTTAGAAGTGAGAGTCAATATTCCAATTCACACCTATTTTCATCTTTTACAAAAACAGCTTGCGCTGGAAGGATGGGAAAAAGAGACATTGATCCTTTGAAAATAGGTAACTCGGAAAAAGTAGGATTTTTATTTTCTGATACTTTCTCTGAAAACATTTAGACGAATACCATCAAAAGTTCGAGAAATTTTAAAAATTTTTTTTTCTGAAAATTTTTTTCCCTCACTTTGTAAAGACATGAAACGCGTTGAATGCATTTATCAACATGGCTCGAAAGGTTGCGTTCTGAATGGAAAACTTAAATGCCAACCATCCGAACAAAAAAACCAGGCTGCCAGTGTTCCAAAGAGAACTTCAAGTAGCCGAACTTTCAAAAAGTTTCAAAACATGGCATAAAAACAATATCGAAATTACCCTAAGAGCTGTGTTCAAAATAAAATCTTCTATTTTTTCATTTCGTTCTTATTCGAGAACTGCTCTCACTTTCAGCCGTCCTAAATTTGAAAAACCCAGTTAATTTCTGAATTTGACACCGTTTTATTTCGGCAAAATAATTGGAACGGAAGTTTACGTCACAACTGAACGATCACAAATCCTCTCATCAGCCCTCCCCAAATATTGTGCTTTCCAACAACTGATCGGAAAAAAACTCCATCGAAACATTTCCACATTTGGCAAGTACGTTTTTTTCTCTTTCAAAGAACCTTTTTTTGGTTCTTATTAACTTAAAAAAAGTTGCGATTTTTTTAACTGAGTCACATGAAAAAAATGATTAAAAAGTAATTTTATTTGACGGAGTTATTGAAAATTTCTGCTTTAAAACTTGCCTTTTTTTCG